TACATTGCACCGGCGAGGTATTGATCTCGCTCGCGGGTGTCTTTTTCGGTTCCCTGTGTCCCCTCTTGCAAAACTTCCCTTTCGAATTTCCAATCCTTGATCCTTGTTGTCTACCTTACCGACTGAGACAAAAAGAAAAACGGCCTAAAAAAAGAAGAAAACGTTCGACTTCCTGTCGCCGACGAGATTCCCCATCTCCGTCTAATACAGCTCAATTTCAAATCAATTATGTGTACTTTATGAGTCTCTGGTTTCCGAGGACAAAAAATATCGCGTGCCCAGGCAGATCGAATATTGGTTCCAAGAAGGAACTGGCTCATATTAGTCGCGCGTCTGCGTGCTGATACGTTTTACGCGCGAATTGCCACGAAATTAGAAAGACAGAAGCGTGTGGAAAAAGTATAAAAACCAAGCCGAGGCCCGGAGCAGTTTTCGCCGGTCTCTAATTTTCATCGTCGGCCGTGCTTCTTTTTCGCTTGAAACAATCGCCAAAAGTCGATAACTTATCGAAACTAACGACACAATCCGGTTCCAAGGGTATGATAGATCTCCAATTCCCGCAAGTTTATCAGTCTTTCAGCGATCTGCGTTTTTTTCCCTTCTCGTATTTTGCTACGTTGATTCGATCTATCTACGTGATGATGGAAAAAAAAAATGAAGAAAAGATTAGTATCGAGCATTCGAAAAACACTGATACACTAAAATAAGTATAGAAAAATTGTGTATAATGTATAACTTGTAATTTACCTGTAGGCATCTATCTTTCGTTTTTTGACAGTACATCTGTTTTAATTGTTACGTAGAAATGTAGGTCATAAGATTAGGTAACGTCATTTACTCAAAAGCAACTGATTCGGTGTAAACCGTTCGGTTGTAACGCGCCATTTCAATATGGCGTCGATTGAATACGATTTGAAGTAGAGCAGGTAACAATCCGCGTGGACAGACGATATACATAGCGTAATTTGTTTCCGTCGTGAGACCGAAAGAAGAAGCGACAAATCATCTGTTTTTTTTTTTTTTTCAAAACCGAGCAATCACTCTAAACGCAATAAATTCCCCCTGCCGCATAATATCTGCAACTCAAGTTGCGGTACAATGTCTCCTTTGTTATCTTCTGCGCTATGATTTTCAACACGCAGTGGCACGGCTCAAAGAATACGCGGATGTTTCTAGAAACAAAGCAATGCCAATGCCCCTTGATATGGAAAACAAGACACAATGGAATATTACGGCTACCTCGCCCACTATATTCAGTCGTTCTCTTTATCGTTCGAAAGAGAAATTGAATTGTACGTCCTGTCAATGCTTCCTCCGGGGGCCTTTTACCACCGCATAACACCTCTATTTCCTATTTTCGAAATGTGCGTCACAACCGTTTCATTCCCTGCTGAAAACGTGCGAACAATTTACTACGCTGTGAATTCAAATATATATCGTTTCGAATTAAGCGAGGAAAATGAGAAATTCTATACCTCTGCGTATCTTTCTCCAGCGTTCGTTTTTTTCTGCGATAGCATCAGTGCAACGGTTTTTTTTTCGAAAACCGTGCGATCTCTTCGTTCGTAATTACGACCAGGAGCGAATCACGCGTCAATTTCTTTTTTAGCCGAAGCTATCATTCGAAGAGCAAAGAATCTGAAATTTCGAGCCGAAACAAAGGATGTTGGCGTCCATGTAAGTACATATATACTTCTCTTAGAAACATCTTCGCCGCCTCGGACCTGTCAAAACGCGCGCATGCGCCGAAGGGGGGAAATGAAACAACAGGGAATGTCATTGACCCCGAGTGCATGTATCTACCGAGAGGTTAAGGTTAATTTTATCACTGTACGGTGAAAAATACTTCCTTCCACCATCAACGTGGGCATTCTGCGTCAAATGGTATGCATCTGTGGTATGTGGTCATCAAAGATCGAAGAAAGAGCGCCGGTGACCCCTTCATCTCTCGCATAAATAATCGCGACTACATTCGATAATTCCAACCTCTCTCGGTGGAGTTCATAGACCGATACCAATCCTCGACGGGACGAAAGGAATGACCTACGATTTTCCACATTTTCCTTGATGAAATAATCTACAAAATTCGAGTAGAAACGACCGAATCGACTGCAAATTAAAATATTAAATTTGATCGAACGTGAATGTTTAAAATATAACTACAAGAGCACACCAAGTCGACAAAGAATTAAGCACGATTTGGAGAATTAGTTGGATTTGCAGACTTGTCGAGCTTTTCTCTTTGAAAAATATATATATATAAAGAAAAGGAACAAAATTTCAAGTATACAAAAGAAACGTCGAAAATAATCTTGATCGAATTGCGAGATGAAAAGAGGTTACGAAATGGAGACAAGAAAAATTATTCGAGCGCAGCGCTTTAACACCACGTGCGGTGGATTCGAAGTCAGAGTTAGTACTGATTTGCACCGATCGTTCATTACTGGAGCCAGAGCTTCCGGTCATCAGCGGTGACACGAGAAATGCAAGCCTACATCCACGAAATATCGACGAGCATGATTTATTGAAATAGCAAGAAAGACTTTGTATCAAGGTGTATCAACGAGTCAACCTTATTAAGATGAACTGCATTGTTCGGCATTCACTTACCCCTGAAATCGTTGATGTCGACTCAACATCTTCGACAATTATCTCCATCGATTGGGCACCAGATATCCCAGCTACGTAAGGACCCGCCACGTCGGCCATACACTGTGTAGACACACTGCACGCACACACCCGTCACACAGCACAATTAATTGGCTTGAGAAAAATCGGTGTCTCCAGATCCAAGGAGAGAGAGAGGAGGAAACACTTGCCACTTTGTCGGACACCCGCGTCACTTATCGTGTCACCTTTTCAGTCACGACTCACAATCCGCGGTCCGTGCGACCGATTCTCAGGAAAAATCGTGCATCGGGAGACCCGAGTTCACCGTATCTTCGTATGCAATTTCTCGAGAAACGAAAACTCTCCCTGAGATTCCTCAGATTTCTCGTACAGCCTACGACGTTTGTTATCCGATAATTGAGTTTCCTATACCGGAAGTGTGTCTCTGAAAATGCGTAATCGTGTTGAACAATTGCGAGACTCGTCCGTATTTTTCCGAGAAATCGGTCAAAAGAGAAAAAAAAAAAGCGAAATACCACGAAGGGAATTCTGCGTAAACATATAGAAACCAGAACGGAAGGAGAGAAACACGTACCGACTTGTTCGGACATATGGCCGCGCGAGAAACGAGCCTCATCGGTGACAACGACAGACTGCGTGCCGTGGGACGCCAGCTGAACCAGCGAACGGACCGAGGCATGGACGATGGAACGCGGACGGGAGGAACGGAGGAACGAGCGGAACGGCGGACTATCAAGCTTACACCTTTGCTTCCCGACAACGATCAACCGCGGTCCCGGCTGCACTTCGTGTTTCCACACGCGTCGGCCCTCGCATCATCTTTTTCATAGGGAGCACGAGGAGCGAGGAGGAGAGGGTGCCGCTTACCCGATGTACCAGGAACCTCATTGGCCCCCGCGCGCGCGACAGTGATGCAACCTTACTTCGGTGATAAATCTTTCCAGATCTCGTGACAGACTCTGAAACAGAAATTATTTCCAGAAACATGTTACACCGAAAGTGCGCGGTTAACATTGGCAGTGACGAGGTAATGATTTTTGTTTCGGAATTACTTCGCAACAGACGCGACAGAGGGTGAGAAGGAAGAGTCTCATCCTACTTCCGGAGACGAGGTCGAGGCATCTCGTGCGGAAAAACCGAACGACGGGGTCAGACGGCCGGGTTCAGTGACACGGAGAGAATTTGCTTTTCCGCGGGGGTGGAAAGTGGAAGAACAGAGACAGAGATTGAGGGGTAGCTACTGGGTTGGCTGGACGGAGGGGGTTGAAAGGAGGGAGGACTCGATAGGGTAAACGTACTTACACGCTAGCACGAATTCGGCGCGAAGGAGAACAAGAACGGAGAGCCGAATGTTCGTACAGTTGCAGAGAGCTTCGAGGCTGTCTCGGAGACGCACATGGTTGCCTCCTCTCTCTTTCTCTCTCTCTCTCTCTCTCTCTTTTTCCTCCTCTTTCTCTCTCTCCTTCACTCCCTTTTTCTTCCTCCGTCTGGTCTTTGCCCTCTCACCCTCTTTCAGTCGGTGGTCTGTCGCGTTCCGTCTTTGTTTCTCGCAGCTCTCCGTTTAGGCCGTGCGAAATTCAGTGCCAGTGGCGTAACCAGTGGGGGACCATCGACCCCACTCTGCATTGCTATAGTCTCCACTCTTACCCCTCCCTCGTGCAGTCGGCCAGCGTTGCCACTTGCCAATAGCATTGCCAGCTCGTTGCAACTGAGTGGGAGATGTTATCCCCTCCTCCTGTTATCCCGCCTAAGGTCGACTTAGAAAATCAACCGGCGTGCAACGAAAATCCCGCCTGCGACATCCTTCCGATTCTGTTCAATTTTTACTAACACTACCTTTTTACATATCTTTCTCTCTCTCGAGCGAGCGAGCGAGCGAGCAATATAAATATGTCAATATACATGTCATATATATATGCCTTTCAAGGAGAATTGGGAAATTGTTTTTAAAGAGTTCTTGAGATTTTTGTTACAGTAAAAATGCTGTATCCTGATGACCTACGATGTGCTACTGCATTAGGTATTCTCCAAGTTTCGAGAACTTCAATTCCCTAAAAAAGTACATACATTACACTCTGCTTTGCATCTCTAAACTTGAAGTTGATAACGACGAAAAAATATTTGTCCTGGAGATATCGATTCCCCATTACATTAGTCGTAACATTTGTCATGTTTCGTGACAGACTGATGTAACAGTGAAATGTCACTGGGCGATTTTATTTTCCCGTGCGCTGAGCGGACCAGTCTCTCCTCTTACGGGGAGCTACCTCTGGATACGTGTGAGCTTGCTGCCTGTCCGCACACACATACACACAAGCACGTAAGTGTGTGTGCATAGTACGTTCACATGAAAGCTTGAAAAGTGCAACGGACGATATCTCGTGCTGCTGGCTGCATATAGGTAGTGGGGGTGGTGCAGGCCGACATGGCGGCCAGTTTTCTGGAACGTGCAACACAGGCCTGCCTTTACCAATTTTCTTCCTTCGGTCAGTCTGCCTTTCAATCTTTATCTTCTTCCTTCCTTCTGTCCGTACCCTTTCGTCTGGCTTTCTTACCCTCTTATTTCTTGAAAAGGGAAAGGAACCGGCTGCGATTGAAAAGAAATATTCATCGGATTACCAGACTTGTTCGCAACAGCAACAACAGTATGAACAATTGTACGTAAAAATATCGGCCTTGATTGATTACCTCATACACGTAAAATTTACACTGTAGTTTATACATGTATGTATACGATACCGTGATTGTTCATCGAGCTTCTTCGGTCAAAGATTAGACGGGAAGAAAAAATTAATTGACGCGAAGATCATAAACGAATAGATCACAAAGCGGGTCTAAGAGACTCAGCCCCCAGTATGTTAAATATTTGTCGTCACAGGCTTCATTACTCTCAAAAGGATGATCAAGGGGCCGCGGAGAGGCAGCAGGAGTCAATAAGCAGAGGAGCCAAGTGTCGGTGAAGGTGTGTAGGCTTAAACTTTAATTCATATGAGTGAATATCGCTCAATCGAGCCGAGAAGATTTCGTCGATCACGCTTCGCTGCCATCTTCCATCAGTGTTCCGTATCTATTCTGTATTTCATGGCTACTCTGAATTACTCTCGACAATTAGATTCATCTGAAATATACGTATCGTTCTCAATACAAATCAAGTAAAAATCAAGTAATCTCAACTTAACAAAAAGTTACAAATTCAGTTTTCTACCAACCAACATGGCTGCCATTTTAATCGCAGGACAACTTATCTACGCAACAGCTTGGTCATACAGCATGGTCATTCATTAATTGTAGAAACATGAGTTCTCGTTAACGAGAGAACTTAAATAATTGCCATGATTACAATACTCATTCTTTCTCTCCCCTCTTCAATCCGCTTCGACACTGTTACGGATATACAATCGTGGATGAAAAAGCAAAGCGAGTCAGTAAGTGTCGGACAAAGACAGACAACCCCTACGAGAGAGAGAGAGAGAGAGAGAGAGAGAGAGAGAGAGAGAGACAGAGAGAGAGAGAGAGAGCAATAGAGTCAGAGACAGGAGGAGGGCGAGTGCAGTTCTCGCGATCCAGCGTGCGTTGCACTCCGCACGAAAAAACATCGTCCGGGCGGGTTGAGGAAGGAGGAGGTGGGTCTTCGTGCATCTCCGGCCCGCGTCGGAGCTTATATTGATCAGGAGAGAGTGCACGATATTCGAGAATACATTATACGCGGACTCTAGCCTAGCCGGACTGCCTATAGTCATGCAGAGTATAGGCAACCAGGCCGCTGCACTCTACTCCCTCTCCCCTGACAACCCTTCCCCTACTCGCCTCTGCGACTTGATCCCCTCCCCTTTTGATTATCTATCTGTCCTTGTTCAAAGCACTCTCTGATTCTTTTTGTTCTTCTTGCTTCAACTAAGCCTCCAGACTCCAGACTAGCGATGGACACACGTTTCTCCCTTTGCATCGAGTTTCTGAACAATCTTCGATGAAACGAACGACTCTGAATAGTAGCTGGATTTGAAAATGTCTGGATTTGAAAATGTCTGTGTTTAAATTTTTCGATGATTGAGATGATATCCCTTGAAAAGTTTCGGCCTTGTGACTCTAAAATACTCAGTGGTATGAAAATTAGTAAAGGCAAAAACAGAAAACTTTTGTGCTTAATCGGTCTAAGATATTTCGAACCTATCACTACCATATCTTCTTCCCCTCCAACTCTCCCTCTCAAACACATCCATCCACGTACACAGAGCTAGACTGTTCGTTCTCTTTCCATTTCATTTTCCATCTTCTTTTTCCTTTCTCCTTCTCTTCTACCCTCTCCGTCCTCTATTTCCTCTTTGTCATATACGCCTATACCTCGTATGTTTTCTGTCGTTCTTTTTCTCTCTGCCGGCTACTCTATTCCCTGGCTGCTATTTTTCTCGTTTCCTCTCTCTCTTTCTCGGTTCTGCCCGTATCATCTCCGTTGGGACTGATCGTCCGTGCATTTTCTTTTGGAATTGATGTGCCCAACAAAAGTACAAACCGGACCATCTTACAACTCCTCTAATCTCATAGTTGTCTCTAAATCATCTCATTAACGGTGGAATATTTCATAAATATGTATACCTCTTCTACAAGAAGTTGTATTGTCATATTGCAGACTGGCCTGCATAGATCCTTCAGAACAGAGTCAAGGAGCAGACTCTGCTGAGGTGCGGATATTAATCCAGAAGGTTCTCCATAGCATCCCCCGGGAGTCTCCCCACTTGCCGAGGAGACGTCGACGATGCCGATGGAGGGGATCCGGATGGAAAGGAGGGAAAAGGGGCGGGGTGCGGGCAGGGAACTGTTGGCGGGTATGCACGGTAGGGGCAGGAGAGGACCTTGGCCTTTTCGCGGGGCAAAAATAAAACCTGTTGACACCGAAGCCCCGCGGACGCAAAGGAACCTCTCTGTCTCCCTTCCTCGACCAGTTTCCAATATCTCTCTTAAATATCCGCCTGCTGATTCCCCTCGAGCTGCACGATTTTCGAATTTGTTCGTATAGGTTAGGTTGCTGTTACTTTGGAACTTTCAAGCCGGTCTGGATATGAAAGGAGAGAACAATGATATATACAAATTAGATTAAATTGGAGAGGAACAAGATCCACTCGTATTTCTATGCTTGCAAAGCGTCATCGTTACTGTCGATGCGTGAAATGAACGCCCCCGCGGCTTTGTGCGCCCCCAGAGCCGCTGGATTTTATCACATGTCGCAACTCGGCCTCGCATGAACATTCCTTTCCATCATTTTAACCATCATTTTTGTTGCTTTAAACTTTTTGAACTTTTCTTCCAATATTCTTTCCTCCAAATCTCGTCATCCAGCTTTCATCGTTTCATAATATTGATGTTTCTTCATAATATTCTGAATTTTTTCAACGTTTCAATTTATCGTTTTTATGAAGTACGTATACAACTTTTCAATTGAAATACATACTTGCATTATTCAAAGGTGATCCCAGTGTTATACACGTTGCAGTAGCGGCCGAATGCATCTGGTCCCAAGTGATTCCCCTTCAGTACCAGTTACGCTGCTGCAACATTTGCTTTCTGCGTGTTCGCGCGTGCACGATGCTCGAGCATGCACCTTACCATGACTAGACGAGCCAGAGACGAAGAGAAGCGGCCTCCGGCAACCTCAACCTAGCTACAGACAAACGCCATCGTCCCTGTGTGCACGCTACGCTGCCATGACGCGGAAAAAAGCGATACAGAATGTATCGACCAGACAACCAACCCGCTACTTTTTCTTTTTTAAGAAAATTTTGTTTAATGAATGATGCAAAAATTCTTCTTTCCTTCTCTTGCGTGACTATTCCTCTTGAACTAATTTTCAACATCTTTGTTTGATGATATTATTTGGTAATATTATCTATGGCCATAGATTTCTATTTACAAACTTCTACAAATTAAAGATGAAATAAATTAATTGTTAAAAATGCATCATGTATCCTATATATATATCTAACATATGAATTGAATGAAAAATACCTTGAAAACGAAACTAAGTTTATACATAAAAGTAAGAGTAGTTGGTACAGACATGGAAATGCTGTACTATTCCTACAGGAATGCATTCTTTAAACGCAGAAAAATGCGATTCTTCTGCAAAGTTGAACGATTCCCGGTAAGAGAAAAGGTCATACACACACACCTGCGCAACCACAGTGCAGATGTGTGCACTGCGTGCAACATCGATAGTAAGCACATAGCTTTGTGAGCCTCCACGATGTAGAATAACCCGATGCTCTCCGGCTAGACAGGCCAGAGACAGAAAATGGTGTGTCGCCGTATCTCTTCTTCGTAACAATGCATTTTCCATCAAGCGACATTCTACAAATTCAAAGATAAAATATAAAAGAAAAATAAAAAGAACGAAAAATAGTAGATAAAAACGGTACAGAACGAGCACAGTAATAGAAACTTAGTTTGCTCGATAACGAGTAGAAAAGTTGCAATGACAAGAGCGACCGTACAACGTGACTGCCATCGATGGGGAAACGTAGGCATAAAGAGAGGGCCGGGCTAACAGGCCATATCGGAAAAATTCTTATTTAGCCTTCAGCCAATGAAAGACCAGGTGGGTCCTCATGAAAAACTCCCGAAAGGAAAGGGTCACGCCTGTTAATTCCGACAACATCTTAGGAGAGTTGGAAGCCGAACGGAGGGGAACTTCAAGTACATCTGCATCCGGGAAACAAAACGTGCCGTGGTAAACAGTTAAACAAAACTGGAGTACGAAACGGTCTAGCTAACTGCCATTCCAGCTGACTCAGCAACTTTTCATTTTCGATTTTCACATTACCGGAACTTCCTACAATGAAGAATATCGATATTTCAGTTGCGATTGCACACTTGGACGTTACAAAACAAACTTAACAAAATAACAAAACAAAACAACGCGAAGCTACGAGAAGTCACTTGGAAAAATAATAATGACAATAATACCTAATCGTTGATTCGTTCCTGATTACGAGCAGCCTTCCATCTGCAAAAGTAGTCGAGATAAAGAGAATATCCAAGACAAAAAGCAAGTGGAAAGGAGCACGGAAGAGAGGAAGAAAAGGGAGAAAGAGAACCTTGGCCCACAGGCCTACTGCAGCGTTGCAGCTTGCTTGCAATGTGCCTCCGCTGCTCTGCCATTCATGTGGGAAACACCCTAGTATCCGTTCACTGTGGGGCTGGGCCAACACAACTGCCGGAAAAATTTCTCTTTCGATGCACACTGCAACAGCCCCGCCCCATGCGCCAAGAGAGAGCATGGGGAAGAAAAGTTCCCGATAGCTGGGGCAACGCAATGTCTGCCGGTTTTCTCGAGATGGAGACTCTATGAAACATTAAGAATCGTCTTCCACGTTTGGTTCATTGAAAAAAAAAGATGGTAAAGTTGAACAAATTGTTAAAGAACTCAACTTTTTTAAGCAGCTTTTTTAAAACTACTTATAAGTTCTGTGCGAAATCACAAAATAGTCAAAGGAACTAAAGAGTTGAAGAGAGAACTGATTGGAAATAAAATTTTTGATGAATCGCAAAAGATGGCCAGCGCGACAATTGTTAGTCGTCTTCACGTTAACACAATGTGAAATTCGAATCCTGTAAATAATTCGAGAAATTGCATTTTAAATATCGTCGTTAATTAAGAAAAAAAAAAAGAAAAATACAAAAAATTTTTTAAAATCACTACCTAACCTTCAAACAATTCTCGTTATTCTCGTTGCGAGAAATCTCGAGTAAATTGACGATTTCTGTTACTTTCAACTAATTTTATTATTTCTCGACGTTTACTGCTTATTGAGATTATGCTTGTTAAGACGTTCTAAGCCATCGAAGATGCGATGTGTGTGTGTAATACGTATTGGTGGTCGAACAGTCACGTATGCGTTCATTGACAGTGGAATTGGCCATGCGACGTCGACCTTCCGATAGTTTGTGATCTCATTAACCTAACCTAGGCCACACGGACTCCTCTTGCTTCTTTAACCTCGCGCGATCGAACAACCCGATAACATTATGCATGCTTGAACTTGTTCAGCGTCACTTCTCGCGTTTTAGTTAGTTCGAGAATCGCAAGTAACGACAAGAGGATCGACTTTTCACTAGACACGTCGATCAATGTTTTCATGCAAAGTTTCTCAGATCGTGCTTGAAATTTAAATAGTTGTCCTTCAATGTTTGTAAAAACCGTTACTAGAGACACTTATTCGAATCTGAAATATCGATACAGAGCGTGAGATCGATATTTCTTAAAAAGCACTCTCGTTTTTGCTCGAGAGATCTATTATGTTCAACAGCGTACAAGCACATCGATCTCGAAATTCGAACTCGTTGTACACGTCACCAATATCGATATTGCGACAACTGCGATTCTCGAAGAGTAACCGACAAGAACGCAGTCAGCGTTCAAACGACGAAAATTAACGCTGGAAGTCGACGTCGCCGTGTAAGTAAATTGAATTGCATGTCAATTTACGTTAAATCTGTTGTACGTTAATTGCAATCGATCATTCCCGCTTAAAATCAACTCGTCAGATTCGCAGATAAATACTGAATACTCGATCCTGTCCATTTCGATCGGTGGATCGCGAACGACGGTGCCAGGGAGTGAAGCGGAAGCGCGAATTCTGATCTTTACCTCGGTTATCCAGAGTGGGAACCATCCAGGAACGTCCGCTGCATCCCGTGAGCCCTCTGATACATGGACCTCTTTCTAACCGTAGAAAATCCAATGACAATAGGAAACAATGGAGAGAAAGAACGTGGACGTGTACATCCTATATCTATCAGACACCGTTCGTTTGTACGTCAGGTCACCGCTCCCTGGGAGATCACTGCCCTCACGCACACCCGGTGCCTTCCTCTCGTTCCTTCGGCTCGCTCAGTCGTCGTCGTGTGTCTCTGCCCCGACGATGGGAGGCAGGGACGTATCGCAGAGCCGATGTGCCCATCGCGAACAACACGCACACCGAATCGTTCAGATTTGTTTTTTTAAAGAATTTCGTTAATACACTTCCCAATTGCAGATCCGTCATTGAACGTACTGGGAGCACTGCAATCCTAACACGGCAGGGAAGAAGCGTGAAGGTTTAAAGGAAAACAGAATCTCAGTGGTAGCGATGGGTCGTTGATCGTCGCGAAAGTAACAGAAAGTCAAGAGTATGTATGTCAAATATATTTCCATGTAACAACACTCTCACTCCAAGTATACAGGATTCAAATAGCTAACAGTTCGTTTATTTATAGAACGTCGTTGCCGTTACTCGTCATGAATGCGTTTTTTCCCCATCACTACCGGTCGCAGATCTCCCTCCTCTTCGAGTCCGAATTTCATGACTGTTGAGTTCGTCTCCGACGTTCCGATGAACAACTTTCGTCGGACGTAGCGATCACTCGCGGACGGGCAAGTACTTCACGCAGAAACTCGCATGAATTGAGAAGCATACAGTCTGGAAATCCACGACGGACTTGTCCTTCGACGGAGAATGCACTGGCTGAATTCACATGCTCGAATCGTGTGTCTCGTTCGCGAATTCGCGGCACACAGACGGCTGGCGGCCAATTGCAAAAACCCCTTCTTTTGCGGCGGAAAGAACAAGGGATCCAGAAACCCTACCCCCCCGGGGGCACACGTGTGTGTGTATGTGTGTGTATGCGGGCTGCATGTCGAGCGCACACCACGGCACACGAACGTATACGTGCACGAAAGGGAAGACTGACGTACACGAGCCGGCAACGAGACGACGATTTCCATTATTTCGCCGGCACGCGTGGCAAGACTTGTTCAACGAGCGCAACGTCGCCATCTGTATTGCGAATTTCGTATCACGATAATCGCGAATTGACCGACGAGGAAGGATGCACTTCTGCTGGACAGCATTCTGCGCTTGCGCAATTGTTGCGATTGGAAAATCGCGGATTCGTATCGTTTCTTGTGCTAGTCAGAGATTAGGACAGCAACTTCAACGTTTATTTGCATTTATACATGCAACGAATCTTCTACGACTTAACGACGAAGAATTTTAGATTATTTAAAAATATTATTATATGTCTATTATAGAAGTTCAGTTTTAAAATACCGATTTCTCCCTGTACAATTTTTGAATCGACCAGTAAGGACAGAAAGGATATTTTGATTGGATGGTTCAGCATGTACAATTCATTTTAATTTACTATCTTTCATGCTGTAATGGAAAACACGGATCAGCCGAAATTGGTAAGAGATTTTATGTATAATTTTAATGTCAATAAATTTGTTTAATTTTCTTTCTTTTCTTTTTTAAGAATTTATTTCATGAAGCAATACTATTCAAGACCAATTTTTGATTTCCAAAAGTCAATAGTTATCACCGATACGATGCCGCAGTTTTTTTTAAAGACGAACCTGATTTAACAGCAAAGAAACAATGTGCAAATTTTAAGTAACGCTTTTTTCAGAATTTTTTAATTTACTATTTTTAATTTTTTCTTCTAATCTGTTGGACGTGGTCAATTTATTAACATTAACATCTTTTCTTCTTTTTTTGTTTTGTTCTCAACAGAGGAAATCGCAATACGATACAAGAAAAATCATTTCATCCATTCATTTTTTCCCTTAATGTTATATTTTTTATTGGTATGTAATACGTATATAATAATATATATTTATATATTTCTATATATATATATTTATTATATTCGTCAATATCGAATATATTAATATTTTATCAGTTTTTTCTTTCCATAAATTAAATAAATAGTTCTTGACTGTGTGATATTAAACAAAATATTTTACAAAAGTAAATAGCTGTAGATTGCCAGGTATTCAGTGAAGAATGAGGATAGATGTACTTTTTTTTTTACTATATCGTCTATTCAAAAGTAACTAGACATCCGAAGCGCTTTTTTTTATTCCGTATACGTGATCTTTGGCGAAGTCATGATTTCTTTTCTTCGTTTTTCTTCAAATACCAAATATTTGTCTATTTATATTTATCTTAAAGCTGTCTGGCAAATCTCGTTCTTCAAACAATGATCATTCGTTTCGTACAAAAAAAAAAAAAAACTAAACAATACAGAGGAGAGTAGGAAGAAAGAAACGTGTAAGAAAGAGAGAAGCGATAGAAAATTTGAAAGAGAAGACGATGATTTGAGAATCCTCGTGGGACTTTCTGCTTGTAACTTGAACTTCCGAAAATACTTCGTTCATAGCGTCTTCTTATCAAGTTCCAGAGAATTACTCACGATTCTTTGTATTTGAATAAACGCATCAAAGCATCTGATTTCTAAAAAAGCCTAAGTAAAATTGATCGGGACGCAATTGATGGAGTTACATCTAACCACGAAGAAAAACAGAATTTTGGCTGCACTGGAGCATGATTATCGCCAAGAGTCACACAATATACACACGATCGGTTTTTTATGCTCGATAAAAACGACCTTAGCGTTTCTCATTGTTCAGTGTTTAGTCGCTTTTCAATACCACGCGATAAAGTATAGTTACATTTATCATTAATTCTTTTTGTTTTCTCTTTGTCTGTTTTCTCCTTTTTTATACTATATGCTGGACTGAGGTATTGAGAGGCAAGATGGTCGTTTTTTTCCTTTTTTTTTTTTTTTTTTTTTTTACTCTAGGCATGGCGTAAGGTTAAAAGTGAGAGCTGTGAGGCTNTTTTTTTTTTTTTTTTTTTTTTTTTTTTTTTTTTTTTATACTCTAGGCATGGCGTAAGGTTACAAGTGAGAGCTGTGAGGCTGTTGTTCGTAGAACAGTACATAGGCTTCGTTGGAAACGACCGATCGCGCTGGAACGACGGATACCCGACTATCGTTATACTCATGCCACTCCCCCGAGTATGGATGCTTACAATACGCCGTGTAATGACCAGAATGCGTTGTGCCCGAGTGATTCGCGACACCGTACAAATTGTACGTACAACCCGGAACTCTGGGCGCGGCAAAGGCACTGAGATCCAAACCTGTCAATGGAAAATCTACCATCACGTTTAGTTTGCTGCGGAATCGTTCCATCGGTGAGAAACGTTTTAAATCTTTGAACGTTCATTAAGGAAAGTACGAAACTCTAACTTTCAACTAATTTGCAGAAGAAACTAAATTACCAGCAAGAGCTAGCCAACATTTCTGTTCAGCTTTTACCAAAGTCGGAAAAGGATACGAATAACAAGAATTTTTGGAAACTTCTGTATGCTGAAGCTTTTCGTGCACTTCCTCCTCATCTGGCACTTGGAACAGGTCGGCTTCTCGTCACCGTCGAGCACCTCTTCTCGCGTGAAGTGTTCCAAACATTGGCTCAACTTTACTGTACCACTTCTGGCCGGTATTGGCAAGCTCAAATCCCAGAAAGGATCCAACGTGACCGACACGTGGTCGCAGGAGGTGCAATGCAACGACGAACGTAATTGACCCACGAACACATCCACTATCATACTATCCTCGCTGCGTAGATAGCGTTTCCAGCTCTCGACTGCCTTCTGACTATCACTGAACAAAATTCGAAAGATTAATAATGATAATTCACTTTTCTCTTGAGATTTTGTGAATCTACAAAATAGAATTAAAGGTCCTCTTACGTGTACATTTCAGGAATATCCGTGTGTATCGGTTGAGGTTTCACCGTCACCCTGTTCACGTCTTCGTGCAGACCCTCCAGCAAATATCTGAGAAACTCTTGAGCATCTTGTTGGCTGTACCCCATGAAACGCGGTGCGAATCTTTGTATCTGGGACTTAAGCGCCGTCGTATTAACCACGAGGTCACCGCCCACCTCCCACAGCTCGTGAATCACCTGGCTGAACGCCTTGATTAGGGCTCCTTTCATACTGCTTGTGCTGGTGTTTATGTCCGTCAGGTACTGCTCGTTCAGCAGATATTCCAGCAACGGTCTCGTATTGCTCAAACATTGGATCACACTGTTCATGAAACACTGCAAGACAGAGATACTAATAAAACGACCGGTTGTTTCAGAATGGTCGTTAACGTCACTTTTATGCGTAAGTAGGGCGCAGCATTATGTAGATTTAGAAGAAAATATTTTAGAACTCGGTCGAGAAATTTCGGTTGGAAGAGTAGAAACGTCCAGTTTAAATACATAACATAGACATAATACTGCACTTTTAAACTTCACGCTGTACTTTATCATTCATTCTCTAACATTTGCAATTTTAAAAATAACAAATTCAATCGTCGCAACAGACAGCTACAAATGAACTTTGAATACAAGTTAATGACGTTAATGTATTCATAAATGTGGTGGAAAGAAAAGTTTATCCGTGGCTATCTATATAGGTGAGTTCTACGCCTTCGATTTGATGGAATTAAGTAAATTTACTTTCGTGATGAATAGAATACAATGCAAGAAAAAAATTTTTTGACCTTGAAATTCAAACTTTGCGACAAGTTCTTTACATTTCCACCAAATTCGAAGGTGTAGAATTCATCTATGGACAAACTTTTCTTTCCATCATGTACATAGTCAATGTATGTATACTCACTGTATTCCCGATATTTCGTAAACCGTTTAATCCACATCGCTCATCGCGATGCGCTTGTAGCCGATTACGTGCCGATTTATTTGTCGGACTTCCTTCCTGCAATGGAAATCAATGTTAGAATTTTAAAATCCAAACTTGGTCAAGCATTTTCTAGGGATCTACGTCTCTACAGTGAACAGAGAAACTGTCAAATATTGTTGTTGCGCTCTCTGTTTCAGGCACGACTATTCATACTTCTTTAGTGGTGGCGGTGTCTAGCTTGCGGCACAAAGAGTATATCACATAAATGTATATATATATATATACACGCACACACATACCACGAAGTTGATATACCCCTGAGGATACGTGCTATACAAAGAAAAAAAACCGGTTAATTGTGTGGACCGATTATGTAGAACAGAGTATTTGGATTAGTAAAACAAGCATCATCCGGCACTGAGAGGTAAGATAATTCCACATAGTACGTACATTTTTCGATGCGTTCAACCTCAGCGTATGGATTGTTTCGAACAGAAAGTACGCCCAACACAATATATTCAGAAAAGGGAAGATAGCGTAAATATCTAAAGCGTCGAACAGCCGTGAAAAGGAAACGGTACTCAACGACACGGAAGTCATCGCGTGCCCGACTGAAACTAAGTATCCTTTACCCAATATTCTTCGCGAACACTCACCTTCGTGCGACTGGCTGGAGGCTGTAGAGTAGCGCGCGCGGTCACTATGGAATTGTTCGACCGTACTGAGTAAACGCCGAAAGTGACGCGTTTCTCAGCCGTCAGAGGAGCCGCGATGCCCAACAGGAACGCGTACACAAGCAGCAGAGTAATCACTGCCCACACGCACCACAACCCCCAGCCCAGCAGTTGAGTATAAGCCAGTTTACACGGTTTGACTTTCGAGAATCTCTGGTCCCTCTGCGTCAACCAACCGACGCTCAATTTCTCCCTAGGTTTACGGCTACATCGTCAGATGAGCACAACGAATCAACAGGCGTATCGTATCGTTGCAAATTCGAATGATTCACAAGAGTAAGAACTGAAATACGGTACCCGAGGAGTTTGAGCAATCGCATCTATTACTCGAGCCGAAGAAAAAGGTCTCTTCGCGGTTAACCACGAATCTTTCCGTGTGTAGTATTCGAAGATATCTCATTCGAGTGATGTTCCCCCACTCCACAGGCGAGACAACACACGAAACTAGCACGTTACTCGCTGTCATCGACGAGAGAGATGGCTCGTGTCGCGAAGAGGATCACCGAGATGCTCTCTGCAGAAAACAGAGCAGCGGACGCAACGATAGATTTGTGCGTATTTCGTACACGCGTATACCTCGACATAGAGGACACCCGTTGCTAGGTACCGTTAGGTTATGAGAGATCCGTTGACCGCTGGTTTTCTCTCTCTTTGCTTCACTCGTCCCCCTACTTGAAGAGCTGCGATCTATTAATAAAAGGCAGCTCTCACGACTAACCGTCGAATAGAATGGCGCGTGCTCGACGAGAGAAACACAGGCTAGTTTCGTAACAAGCGACTAGACAGAGCAATGAAAGCGCATAACCTAATGTTTCGATCCATGATCCATCCTTTTCTATCTATTGCCACTATTCTATGCTATATATATGTGTGTGTGTGTGTACCATGAGGGTTCGTTACGAGCCACTGAACTTCCCATAACTCAAAGAAAGAAAAAAAATATGGCGGGTCATGAGATATGATTATCCATATCTATTATGGATGCACGTATGAGAGAAGGCAGGTGCGTTTTTGGCCATGTTTAGAACTGCTGCGACACTGAATGACAGATATGTTTCTTAATAATAGAACATTAGAATGAAATGAAATGCAACGATCCGTGTGCTATATATTAAATGAGAAGAAGGCGCTTGGAACAATTAATACAAAGCAGAGACTAGAAAGAAAACAAGAAAGAAATAGACGGAAATGAAGGAAATTTGAGAACGTGTACATTGTTCTCTTTTGAAACGAAAAAACTTTCACCGACGATTCCGGTAAGTAAGAGTTTTCGTGAAACCAAGCTACGACGTCCTCTCCCGTTGAACGATTAACTTGAAATGACTTAAGCACACTCACAAACTGGTCGGCGACCCCGCGGTAGAGACTTTGGTGAGCCGTGGACGGTGCAGTGGGCGACGAGGAGGTCAGATTACTGGCAGTGTTCGCGGTCGTCCCCGAGAAGTGACTATCCGGTCTCCTGGAGGTAGAAGGCACGGATGGGTCGTCTCCATAGGTACCAGACGGTCTTCCCGCCACGCCGTTTTGCAAGATAGGCGGCGTGCTGCCGCCAACGAACCCGGTCTGATCAATACCGTACGACGTACTGGACGCGTTTCGTTGCTCCTCACCGTCGTCGAGGCTCTCCGGATCCCCGGTGCGGCCACCACGGAGGAAAGAGATCGCGTCGATGGACGTGACGGTGTCGTTGATGCCGTGTATTACCTCACCGCCGCCTTTCGCAGCCTTGTCCTCGATGATCCCGGCGTCCTCCTCCTCTTCCTCGACACCTTGGATAATCTTCTGAGCGTTGTTGTTAATCAGCAGCTCGCCGTTACTCGGATTAGTGGCTAGGTTAGTGAGCAAGTCGAGCTTAACACCGATCAAACCAGCACCGCCACCGAGCATAGGCGACAAGAGGTTACGCTTAGCTGGTGAAACCTCGTCGGTTCGATGGACAGCACCGCGTTGCTGTTGCTGTTGCCGATGATGCCGGTTGTTCAGCTTGTTGTCTTCGTCGTCCTCGTCGTCATCGTCCTTGTCGTCCTCGTCGTCGTCGTCGTCGTCGTCTTCATCGTCTTCGTCTTCGTCCTCGTCATCGTCTTCGTCGTCACCGTCGTTGTCGTCGTCGTGGTGGTGATGGTCGTCCGGTTTGTGGTCGCGTTCGTGACCCCGATCGTTATTGTTTATCCCGTATTGTCCGGGATCACGGGCGTCCTCCGCGCCGCTGCTGTTATTCCCATTACTGCTGTTGTTGTTGTGTTGATCGTCGTCGGTGTTATTGTCGTCCTTGTCGTCTTTGTCGTCGTCATCGTCATCGTCGTCCTCGTCTAGGCTGCGGATCGTGCCGCGCTCGTCGATCGTTACCTCGCCAGGCGACGCGGCACTGTCCGCGCGTGCATGCCCGCCGCTGCTGAGCACCGTGCTGCTGGACAGTGGCCTTCTCTTCGACCTGGACCAGAATGCACCGCCGACGGCGCAGGAAGACGACGAGGAGGACGAGGAAAGCGACGACTCGGGACGATGATCTCTGCCGGTACTGCGTTCGACGGCTACGTCACGATCGTCGCCACCGAATAACTCCGTCAATGCGGAACCGGCCGAATGATGCTTCCACTGATGATGATGAGGATGATGATGATGGTAATGATGATGAGCTCCGCTGGTGTTGCCGCTGCTGCTGGTGCTGCTCGTTTGACGGATATTCGGTACGTAACCGGACGGCGAGTACCTGATCAGATCTGCCGCTATTTCTAGCCTGGACGAGGACTCCGGCAGCGCTCTGTCCCTGGACGAGATGCTCGACGAGGACGACGACGTAGACAAGCCGAATCTGATACCGCTGATACCGTTTGCCGTCACATTCGTGGTCGTGCCGCCGCTGCTGCTGCTGTTGCTACCGCTGCCACCGCCGCCACCGCCGCCGCCGCCGCTGCTGCTGCCCGTGCTGCTGTACGTCGACGACGAAACTGACCTGCAAACGTTCAGCCAATGTGAATATTGCGAATATCCTTTTTCATTCGTCTGGGCCCGCGGCCAAGGGCTGCCCTCTCTTTCTCCGGGTTACGCAATCCCCCGATCAGCATACGCGAAACACGATCGTAAACACACGCACGCGCAATCCCACATGTACAAGGTAAATGAATAAGCAGTACGTTTCTGTCTACGTTAGTAATAATTAATAATAAAATTAATCGAAGGCTGCTAGGTTTAATTTTTAACCTTTCTCAATTGAAACAATTTCTTTTAACGTGTTCATTTGAGACAAGTTTTTAGAAACGTCTTTCGTTCCACGTGATCCAGCAGCCCTCTGAACTCCTACATGACCGGGCAAGAGGTTAAAAGAAAAGTGAAGAGAAACGATGCGAGAAAATGTTGAGAGGTGTAAGAACGATTCCACTTAATGAACAGAGGAAAAAAGGAAGTTGGTAGATGAGGCGGTCAAGTCGATGTTGCTGGCCTACATGCTGACTAGGGCCTCTTCGGGGTTTGGAGGTTACTAAATCAGACGCGTGACACCGTTCGTAGATTTGGAAACAGCACCGGGAACACGCACTAGATATTTAAAATATACAAGCATTCTTGCGCGCGCACGGAACGCACGTGCGCTAGATATCTCATTGCGGTGAAAGAAGATGGAACGTCGTGGAGAAAGTAACTGTCCTCCCTCTCTGTCTCGCTATACACCATACCAGAAGACAATTCGAAGCGAGGTCAAGGTCTTCCGCCACGCTTCAATCGATCAATCAGCACGAATGCACGTACACATATTTATACCCACGTGGCTGTTATTTCTCGTACGGATTAAACTTTGCCCTAGCATCATTTGTAACGATTGTCACAGTCAGGTGATTCAGTTACATACTCACTTGAATATTTGCAATACTGTATAAAGATACAAGATCATCTCTCAAACAAAAACATCTTAAAAACTATTCTATATTAATATTCTATGTTCTTCTTTCGATAACAATTCAAGTTCTTTTAGAAATAATATAGAATAATGCTTGCCGAGCTAGAAACAATAGATACAATAAGATGGTCTGAGTACTTTATACAGTTACATGTTCTCCGACTATTTAAATATAATTATGTTGACTTTACTATTAATTAATTTTAAATCGGTTACAGGACAGCTAGACATAATCTCTATATCACTCCACTCGCTATCAAGCAGTTTAATTATATAAATTATTAGTCAGCAGGCGAAATTCTGGTTACAGATGGTTACGTTCACTTCCACGAATTCCCACTACAAAATCAGTTAATGCAAAATGCCAAGGCTACCGAGAGCAACCGCTTCCTTTACCATTTGCAATTCATCCTACTGATACACGTTATCCAGAAATGGTGACCACAGCGTGATTGACAGACCGTCATTACTTTTAATCAATCACGATCAAGTCTGATACCAAGTAAGGAAAGGACCAAGTTTTGTCGTCCAATAAGTGGACGAAATATCTATCTACCATCTTCCATCAATGGCAAGCGGGCAGACGAGATTCTTGTGTAACTAGTTTTCAAGCTGCAAGTCTATACGGCCCATTTACCGTCGACCTCGACCTTTGCCGTCGCCTCGGCCATGCCATAGAAACGGGGACTTATGGCGTCGCGCCCTCCTAATTGGATCATTGTGACGCGAACAAAAAGTAATTGGCGCATTGTAAAAGGTGTTGCCGGGGTACCTGTTGCCGATTGACGTATTTATAACGCGCGTCCCGTAGCCGTTTTACTCACGGCCGGCGTCGCGAAACGCAATTGGCACGAGAATGATTCACACCGGCCGACGAAAGGGAGGGAAAGACCAATGATAAGGGAGATCCCGCCACGTGGTTCCTCTGGACCACCATGTACCTCCGAGCAACGACAACGATCGGTACAGGGCATCAACGTTTTCGTCGACCGTGCAGCTATGATTAGCAGCCTCTGCACCGGATTGCTATTCTTGGCGTTTCAGGAATTCCATTCCGAAAAAGGGCGTCGGTTAGTTGTGCGTCAAGCAGTTACGGTTACTTAATCGGATGGTGAGACCGGATGTGGGAGAAAACCAGAAAGATACTGCACAGATTCGGTGGAAACTGATCGCAGGGCCTTGATCTTGCAGCAAGATGCCCTAACTGCTTTATATCCTCGTTCATCGGGGATCGCTCACCTTGCAGGTGAGGTGCGAGACCGGCTGTACTCCGACACGTAACTCCTGCGGATGCTTGCGCCCGACGAGTAGAAACTGTAGAGCCGATCGAGTATCAACCATTTAATTAACATCTTTTCTTTGTTTTTATTTGCAGTGTCAGAAAAGCTCGGGATCGGCAGCACGCTAACAACGAGTTCACTTTCGATACTAAATAATATCAACGTGGATATAAGTGTAATCAACTGCTTGCTCAAGGTCATCTATGTAAAGAAAAACCTAAACAAGTCCGAAGGGACAAAGTAATTGACAAGAAGTCGAGAGAAGCAATACATTTGTCCAATCGGTGGAGCCATCGACGGTAGTAAAACGTCTCTCCTCTTAATCAACATTCCTGTGTACGGACTTCTTTCTTTCGATCAATTTCCAACATTCCAGTGCCAATGTTCCGTTAGTGCATGAAAAGGCCAACCTTTTGCAAACGTAAGATATATTTTATGATTCACATATACAGTACTGCCTTGCTAACTAATCAGATTCAATCAACAGTGCACTACTGTACTTTTAGATAATGTACAAAATCTTGAAAAGAATTTTATTTGCAAAAACTTGAAGCAACAGATTAAAGTCGCCTGTTGCTAGGTCGCCCGTGCTTGCGAGCTACACGTGGTTGCCGATCCCTAGAATCCCCGTTAACGGAATTCCGATTATGGTAGCGTGGAGGTGGGAGAGATCGTGACGAGAGAAAAAGAGACTCACCTGCCTGACGGGCAATAGGATCGCCTGTACTCGGTCGTATAGTTCGAACGAAAGCCCGAGCTGCCTGATGTCGACGAGGACGAGTAGAAGTTTGTCGGTCGATCTAAGATCGACGAAGAAGCAGTAGATCGGTAGGTGCTGAGCTTGGAGGCGGAGTTGCCGATAGCGGAACTGGTATTGCCGCTGTTACCGCTGGAACATCGTCTGCTAGGAGAATGCGGCGCCATTGGACTGGTGCTGTACGAGACTGCTACGGCGCCCGCCTGGCCCCCACGGTGATACGACATTGCACCCGGGTCACCAGTCTCACAATCTCTTTCTCTTTCTCTCTCTTTCTTTCTCTTTTCGATTCTCTTCTATAAAAACCCCTTCCTGAATTCCAACACAATTTAGGAGAGATCGATCAGTGACCGAGACATTTTTTTTTTTTTTTTTGTTAAGGAATTTTCTATTATTAAAGTGCTGATTGTTTTCCGAGTATTCCAATGGTGTTCGAGCCTTTCCGGGATTGGCCAGATTCTAATTCTGTTATTCCTTTCTTACCGAACGGCCGAGGAAGATGTACGAAGCGGTTGATAAGTACGAGTCCTGTGTAACCGGCGCTCAAGTGCAATTGTAAATCCACGGTACAAAGATATTCGCACTACGTAACAAATGACGATTTTACATTTTTGTGAATTGACAAAAAGGTATTCGTGAGATGCTGTTTCAATTCCGCTTCTTATTTAAATCTATTTCTAGTAACTTTGCGAATCGAGTACACCTACGAAAGAGCATCGGCTGTAAACCGAATATCTGAACATTTAGTTTTGAAGAACAGAGGAACGTATCCTACAAAGGGACAAGGGGACAAGTATTGTCAAGGTTCACAATTCACATCACAATTCGAGTATTACAGATGGTCTGCAAACTTGTACCATACTGTACTTGTACTGTATATGTCGAAGAACTTGCATACGTCGCAGGGCAGATTCAATGTTGCGAATGGATTTCAACGTTGAACGCGCAGGTACTGACATGACCGATCCGCAAAACGTCAACCACTTAAGAACGTTGGGTAAGAAGACTTTTGGAAGAGTTGAGCAACGACGAAACATCTATCTCTTAAGAGGCCAGACATAACGAACTCCGGTCGTGTTTCACATACAATCCGTAACAATCTGACCCAGAAAAATCTAACAGCCTTACCTGCCCTATTTTTAGATCTAAAACGCCGAAATCTTCGCGTCTAATCTCGCAGTTACACTTGAAGTAAAAGTAAAGCGATATACGCTGTGAATCACGCCGGATCAAAAATTAATTGACAGGCGTTTCGTTTTAGAAGAGCGAGAGGAACGTGAATGATTTTCAACTTCGCCGTCGACCTTGCAACGAATTATGTTTCACCTTGTCCTCGTTTTTTTTTTTTTTTTTTTATTTTTTTTTTTTTTCCTCATGGAAGAATCTACCCGGTGCCCGAGAAGAAAATAGCGGAAAATTTCATGCAACGTTGATGGAAGCGGAAACCGCATTGCGTTCCATCCGATCAATCAGATGGATATCGATTTGTTTCGCTTCTCCGTGTGGAATAAATTACAATGGAGAGAAGGAAACTTCGCCGTTGATACTCCAGCTGTCAAATTCCACGAAGAAGAACGGGAATACAAAACGAAGAAATGCCAGAGGTTACTGGGTCATGCTAAAAAAAAAAGGCAGGCCGACCTTGAGCCGGCGAAACAAAAAAAGTAGCTACCCGCGCGCTGCTTGATACTTGGAACGCGTGTTATCGTTTTAATCGTTTTAATTACTACACGTTGATTAGGTCAACTCAATGAAAGATCAACGACTTAGAGAAACTTAGCAAATAATTTGTTAACGTATACCAAAGCAGTCTGAATTTTTATGTTTTTCCATTTCTGTCTTTTTTTTTTGTCACCTTATATCGCACGACAGATTCCAGTTACGCTTAATTCCTTCCCTTAAAGATTAAATCTTTTCAAAGAAAATAAAAAAAAATTGAAGCGTAAATTTCGAGCAGAGAATACGGACGAAATGTGAAATTATGTGTTAAGATGTACATCACATAGATAAATAACCAATGAAGTTAATCAACAAACGCTGATTCTAAATTCGTAAGCTCGTAAATATATTTTTTATCAAGTGAGAGAATGATAGATATTTGTTAGTCAATAGGCAAGATGTAATCAGTGATAAAATCGCGTGTCTTATCTCGAAACGAAATGCAAAAGAAGATTGAAATTAGGAAACTGCATTACCAACGTAAGTTAAGTAAATTTTATTTTCGACCTTGCGTCCCTGAGAATTTTTCGAACGTTCTTACTGCAATAATCAATCGAGCAAATTGCGATTTTGTTTCTGTAGCCAATGATGGCGTAAAAATCGCGCGCCCAACGTCCAAGAAAATCCACCTCTCTGCCAAATACCTAGCGTCAAGAAAGCAACTACCATTTTTCCCTTTGGTTTTGGCAGCCATCCGAGTTTTCACCGGAATACACATCAGACGCGCAAAACCAATATGAGGAACATCTTGAATTTCATCGAAGATCGTGTAACGAGTAAGATTATTCGCTTTTCCTTTAAATGCCCCGATCAATTCATTTAGCAGAATATCGTTGAATTTCATTTCGAAGTTTTATTACACGTGATAACAAGATGACCAAGCTTAATAATTTGCAAGTTTCTTTTCTCCGATTTGCAGAAGGTCAAACGCCACGAGAAAAAATACATTGCGTGCGTGGAGAGGAGCATCTCGCGGAGAAATTATGATGAAGATCATTACAAGTCATCTCTTATGTGTTTCACAGAGTCAATAATATGGTTACGTAATCGCATAGAGAGTACAATTGGAAATTATGTAACTAATCCTATGATGTGAACCCGCCAGTAAATGCCTGAACCATGCGATTTCATTAATTAATGTTCAACGTCCCTTCGAGTGTCTCCTGCAATTTTTTTTTAAATTCTGGAAACGATCAGAGAATCGATGGAAAATAATTTTTTTTTTAACTGAATAATTATTTATCAACGTATTATCTGAATAGTCGTTAAAAGGAAATTAATAATATTTTAGATTTTATTCGCGAACGGCGGACCGTTATTCGATCAATGGATCGCATTTATTACATCACGAGAATCAGTACACGTGGATCAGTGGCACAGCAGATTATACGTTTACGCAACGAAAATGAGGTGAAACGTGTATCCCATTTTTAGCATTTCAAAATGCCGTCTATAATGGTAATATCTTGAATAAGTAAGTGGTATACGACAATAGCGCTACGTTAATGCCCTTTGTTTCTTTTCTTCTTTTTTTTTATTAAAATTATAAAACGTGGAAAAAATGGACGAGAAGCAGAAATCTCAATTATCAATCTTTTCTTTTTTCCAGTGGTCAAGGCAGAGAATTACAAATGGAAGAGGATATAACCAAAGTAGTAAAAGCAAAAGAACAGGTGTGCACAGCAGGAATCGAACTATTCGATTCTTACGAGCTCCACGTCGCAAATACACGTAAGTAAAAGGTATGTAACGAGTACGCTCGCACGTGATGATGCCTCTGGTTTGCGTACAACTGCACTTGTAACGCGATTAATAGAGATCGATCGAATTTACTTATGGTCTTTAACTACGACTGGTTTCGTTGTATACGTGCGTATGTAACATGTTGCGTTACATAAGATAACGGCAACTTAGTCAGAAGACACGCACACTTGGTCCCCTTAAATTTCAAAGCAATATATTCTTTCGGCATCGAATTTTCTATCAGTCGGACTTGAGACGCACCTCGTCTAGAAATAAAGTGAAGAATACATTTGTTCTACTCGTAGGAAATCATAGACTATTAATACCTTGCGTTCTCTTTGGTATTGATAAAGTTAATAATTCTGTGAGCTAAATATTTACATTTCTTTCAATTGCTTCTACAATTCAATGCGTTATAAAAACTCAAAACTACTTTATTACAAAAAATTGATATGTATGTACTGATATTTTCAGAACTTTGTATGTATATATATATTTTATTATAATTGTATGTATATATATATATATATATATATATATATATATATATATATATGCTGTTTCTTTCTGCATAACGTCCGATTCAAACTGAGCATGTGATCAAAGTTCTTTATAAAAACAATAAAAAAATGGAAGAAAAAAACAGGACAAAAGGAAAAAAGAAACAATGAGGAACACAGGAACATTATTTGTTTATTATTTGGATACAAGGATATAAAATCACCATGTATGATTTAGGGCAATTCATCACCAAGACTGATTTTTTCGCATCAACTTCTCTTTTAACTTAATGGAAAAAAAAAGGAAAAACAGGAAAGCGGCAGTAGATTTATAGGATACATCGCAATTTATTAATTAAAATGCATCGCAAAATTGAGGCTCGCCGACTCTTCGACATCACATATAAATTATATATATTTTAAATTTTTCTTTATTTCTTTTTTAAGATATCGTTACTCTTACACCAATAACGGATTGTACGAATTCACTATTGAAATGTAAAATAACCAGCTAATTCTGGAAATGACGAATCAAGCCTGGGAGAGCATAATCGCCGTTTATCCTTCACATTCATCACTTTTAGTATCACGATCATACATATCTAAAAATTTGAGAAGCTACTCAGTCGATTTCTTTACTGAAAAATTGAAAATTGACGCTCGTGCGTAATACACGAGGACAATAAAATATTTTCAACTGCATTAACTTAGAACGACGATAACTTAAACTTTTTTTTAGATCAGCAAAAATTCATTTATCCATACCGCGACACCCTACAGGGATTAGTCAACAATTTTTTCGACGCCTAGAGGTGAAGTTCTCGACCCAATGATGTGATGAGAGAGGAAAACATTTCTGGATACTTGGAATATTTTTATCGAGCTGTTTCGATTTGTAACCTAACCCCGTGTGCACGAGGCCAGAGAGTAAGAAAAACGCGAGGGAGACGGCGAACTAGGCGAAGTGGAGAAGAGAAAGACAGAGAGCATGTATGTGTGTGTGTACGTATGAGAAAGAAAGGGCGTAGGAGGAACAAAGACGGAAAGATAGAAAGACGAGATGGCAAAGATAGAGAATGAGAGACGCGTTTTTGATTTGAACAAAGCCTTTGGCTATTTCTCTCACATAGTCTCAAAGTTAAAATCCACGTATCCCGTACATAGAGCATCTACAACCGTATATTTCCATACATACGAGACATTCATTATAAAATGGAAAATACTCACGGGCTGTGCGAGCCTTATACGAGAGGACCGAGTTTTCACTTGATTAATTCGTCCAGAGGTGTATAGTACGTGTACACGATTTCACTAGAAAACGTCAGTGTTACGTAGCGAACACGTTCGCGTTATTCGCGAACCATACATTATCGTCGTGCATCGGACAGCGAGAGATTGAGCTTCTGTTCCTTGCGGAAATTTACGGTGAGAAAAAGGGGACAAGAGGTGATGCGTCGCGATGCTGAAAAGCACGGGCCATCCCTCGGAATTGTAGGTGACGTCACACCGTGACGAATACTCGGAACTTATCGATACGGTGTGTCTGAGGTGAGGAAATAGTCGCACAACGGCTACTCGAGAGGCTCGAGACACACGATCGATTTACAACACAGTTTATATGTATGTTGATCACGTCATGATGGTCGTTCCACCGGATGAATCTTTGACACGACTTTTTTGGTACGAGCCACCCACGGGCTACCTGGCCTGGAGTTATTTACCTTTCTCTTCGCACTTTCCCTCTCGTAGCTTATCGGACACTCGAGACACCACGAGATTATCACCACCGACTTCGTTAACGCAACGTGTGTGCAAACAATATGGCGATTACAAGGTTGCCGATTTCCGCGTTGACAGTCATCGCTTCCGTGGCTACCGCATTCTGCGCTAGCGCAAACGAAAATGCCGTTTCGTTCGCCTAGGGTGAAATTTTTCATTGCCAGTGCTGCCACACGCGACTGTGTGACGATCGCAACTACCAATCGCACTCACCGCGCGTACTGTTTCAAACTTCAAACTTTATTCGATCGATCGATCGGAACAACTTTTCTTTGAACTAGTAATTTATGCTATTTCTCATTTTTATACGTTGTCTCATTATACTGATAATATATTCTCACGTACGTGGAAATGAAGTGGAAGTAAACGCCGAAGAAACTAAATGTTTTGTAAATTTTATATATAATAAGGTTTCCGCTCGCAAACATGTGACAAAATGTATTTATAATTGAAACTACCAAAAGTCATTCGTTACATTACTTCTCTGCGTATTCTACAGCCGTTTGTTGAACACGAGCGACATACTTAGTTTTCCGACACTAAGATACTACTTTTCAAACAGGATCTTCATTTTTTTAGATGGTAATACCTGAACAAGAGCTCTCTTCATATAAATACATATTATTCGAATTAAAAATTAAACTATAATTAAAAAGATATTTTTATCTTGCTATATCATCGTCAAGAAATCAACATAAAAACATATGTCTATTTGATCAGGATAGGAACTTGTGCTGTCCCTTTTATGAACTTGTTTTCCATAATTGTAAACTTTACTATTAAATTTAAATTTGTACAATTTACATTATATCGATATTTCGTTTCATGATCTTTTGTCTCTATTGTACTCATACATTCAGATGTTGACGAGAACTGCAATGTTCTCTACATAATAAGCATATCCTTGATTTATTTTTCGAGCCTATTTTTAACAATGCTTCTCCACAATTAATCTATATTTCAAGAAGCAACTTACACTTTTCAATCATGGTACTGAGTTTTGTCTAATTCCATCTGCCAATCAGCCTCTACATAAACATATTAGTAAATTATTAATTTTCACTGCTTTTTGAAAAATATCATTCAATGATTCTAGAATTCTAAACCTAGTTTCTAAATTCAATCACACATTCTGAACGTTTAAAAATTACGAAATTAATTGTTTTTGCCATTCGTTGCAACCGCTCTTATTTTCTTGATTTCTGCAAATGGCCATGTACTATCAAACTGTTTGGATTAGTCAAAACTAATGTGTATATATTTACAATTTATATCGCTCGAAGTAATCAAACATCTTTGTTACATTGCTTCTCAACATATTCTACGGCCATTTGCTGAACACGAGTGACATCTTCCTCAGTACCATGCCGTTCTTCGAAATTAATGTATTTTTTGAATAGAGTTTTCATTTTTCTAGGCGGTAATGTCTGAACCACAGCTCTCTCTAAGACTTTCCTATAAGCGTCAATCCAATATAAATACTCCATGAATTGAAAATTAAATTATATAATCAGAAGATACTTTTACCTTGCTATATCAATGTTATCAGATTTAATTAAGGAATCAACATAACAAGACCATATATCCACTCGCTTGGGATACGAGCTTAAAATTTGTTCGAACAAAGTTTGCGATCTCTCTTTATCCCCAAGTTTGTTTTCCATGATCGCAAACTTTGCTATTAGATTCACATCTGTAAAATTTACATTATATTAACATTTTATTTCATAACTCTTTATCTCTATTATATACATACGTTCTGATGCTGGCAAAGATTGTAATCCTCTCTGCATAATGTGCCTCGATTTATCTTTCAAACCCATCTTTAATAATGCTTCTCCGCAATTAACCCATACCTCAGAGATTTGCTTAAACTTTCTAATGATAGTATTAATAATTTTCTCTAATTCCATCTGTCTACCAGCTTCGAGATGAACAGTCAACATATGAGTGTGTATCTTCAATGAATCATTCGTCCTTATTGCCTCTTGAAAAACATCATTTAATGATTCTGGCGTTCCAAACTTAGACTCTAAATTCAACCACGCATTCCAAACGTTTAATCTTTCATTCTCCTCTCTGAAATTAATCGTTTTCGTCGCCCTTTTCGCAACTGCTCTCGCCTTCTCAATTTCAGTTGACTGCAAATGATATGCCATATACTGTAACCATACTATTGAACTGTCTGGACTGGCCAGAACTAATCTATCAAACTGATCCACAGAATTTGGTAGTTGATTACTGGCTAATGCTTCCTCTCGTTGCCGAATTTCACGTTCTTTTTGTCTCTCTTGTTCTCGACGTTCAACAGCACTCAATTTCTTCCTCTTTGGCTTTGGTTTTTCTTCCACTTCATCTTCGCTACTGCTAGATGATTCTTTGTTCTTAAGAGCTGAATCGCAGTTGTTATCCCAGAAAAATCCACATTCAGATAAACTTGGCTTTTCATTCTCAATGCTAATATCATTAATGTCACTTCTCCGATTTTCTTTGATAGATTTTCTTTTCGTCTTTGCTTTGTCTTTCCTCATGTTCTCTTGACTTTATGTTGTACGATTATTATATTCACGATTTCAATTACAATTACACCTTCAAGAAGAAAATATTGCACATGTGGTTATTACAGTTGCCGTCACGTTCGAGGTTAGCAAAACAATTGTACGACGCTACGACAGACTCGAGATACACGATCGATATTATGTCTTCCGTCACTGTGGGGCCTAGCGCGCGTTCTTTGAATTCAACATTTCAAATTCCAATGTGTATTATTTATATTTATATTTATATGTTATTTTTCATACTTCTTCACTCTTGTTGCTTAGTGAAGATTTAAAAAACAAAATTATTGCTACTGACTACTGATTGCGTTAATACAACATGTATGACAATACAAATATGATAATTACAAAGTTGCCGATTTCTCTTTGTATTCTGTGCTAGGGCATAAGAAAATGCCTAGGAAATTTCGATGCCAGTGTTGCCACTCACGGTCATTTGACAATTATAGCTACTAATCACATTCATCGCGCCATATTATTTCAATTTCAAATTTGCCAATCGATCGGTTAAAACAATTTATTTTGAACTAATTTATTATTTCTTACTTTTATTAGTGTCGGTATTAATAATATGTTTATTATACGTAGACATTAAGTGGAATTAAACTTCGAAAAACTAAATTTTTTGCAAGTTATGTATAATTAGTTTGCGTAATGTTAGGAAACATCACAAAATGCATTTAAAAATGAATTTACAATTTATATTGAAGCTAGACTATATTGTTTCTCTATGTATTTTATTATATCTTCTATTTGCTGAACATGAGCCACATCTTTCCAAGTATTTTTGAAATTAATAAACATTTTGAACAAGATCTTTATTTTTCTAGGTGATAATATCTACATAACTGCTCTCTCCATGATTTTTCTACATATACATGTTAGGATAATTCCATGATTTGAGAAATAAACTGTATTAAACTAAAATAATATTTTTATTTTGTCATATCATTGTCATTACATTTAACTAAGTTTTTATTTTTTTTGAGGGTATCATGTTTGCTTCATTGTATTTCTTTCGTTTCAAGTTGTTATTATCAGCTGATTTTTCTTGTATGCAGTATTTCTTTTCGAACGCAGATTTTACCATGCAAATAGGCATAAAATCAGATTCGTTGGAATTTAATATGACGTAACATTTGATTTTAGAATGAACAACATAAGGTGTTAAATCTGGCTGCATATCATTTATATGACGACGTACTGGCATTGCAGCCAAAATCCCTTTACCAATGCCATACAACAATATTAAAACAAACCAATTTGTCACCAACAAGATTCTACCGCGTAACGATTTGCCATCGGGAAAGTGTATTTGCTTGTTTTGTTTTCCATTTATTTTGTGCATTATTGACGGTAATGTAGTCAATTCGACAAGTTCGTGCAAGTAATTTTTCCATATAATCGTTCCAGAAATTTTGTCTCCTACTTTTTTATTTTCAGAGTAATGATCCTTAGATACTATGCCCACTAAGTTATCCTGCAATCGTATAACCAAACCAGCAGCAGTGATAGTTTCAATCTTCCCTGTAACTCTCTGTCCCAATTTTACAGATGTAATTGGTCTATTTTCGTAATATGGATTTCCTGAAAGTTCTAGTAATTTATTAAAATATAAAGTCAGTGTATCTACTGATGTCACCATCCTGCTTTTAAGGCTGGATAAACCGTCATATATTTTCTTCAATGATACTGTTAACCCTAATTGCTGCTCTTTCTTATTAATAGAAACTATCTTTGCAAATAAAATTTGATTTACGTGCAGCAGATTAAAATTACTAATGTTGCTATAAGATATATATCCAAACGATGTACATCCTGTAATTGGTAAAATTACTCTTACGCCATCCGGTTCTATATCTTTGATTGAACAAGGTATACAATCTCCTACTTTTAGTTTTTCAAAATTTCTATATCTTTCTTGTGGTAGAAATGTCCTAGTTAGAATTAAACTAGGCATTGTAGTAAATACCAGAGCTGAGAGCGTATCACCAGGAATACATTTTGATGCTAAAAGAATAGCAGTTTCCCTACAAGGTGACATATGACCAGCCGGTAAAAAGCCCGTAGTAACTCTCTGTTCATTATTTTTACTGATTCTTAAATATACTCCGTGAGAAGATGATTCTATTATTGTTCCTTCTACTTCTTCGCCAATATCAAATGATATATTTTCAATTTTTACGTCTTTATCAGCCACACTCAAAGTTATCTTTCCCAAATTTTTGTCCACCGCGTGAATTTTTATCAAAATGGTTTGTCCAATTGAATAGTTCCAATTCACGTCAGATGTTTCAGTATCGAGATTAGTGTGTGGAATCAAACCTTTGACATCTCCAAAAAATTTTACCAGTACACCATGCTTATGTATTTGAATGATAGTCCCATGATGTTTTGATCCAACTTTCGCGTCTTGTATATTTGCCAAAATAGGCAAATTACTTGTTATCAAAGACTTTTTTAAAGTAAAATACACCCGTTTCCGACCAGTATTAACAGACAAGACTCTTGCTTCTACTTCTTTGTTGATTTTCAACTTTTTTAAGGCGCTTAAACCTTCATCAGATATGTGCTCTGATGTTATTTGTCCATTAAATTTACCAACTTGTACACTAACGAAACCGGTGCCTTTATCAATGTTTATAATTTTTACATTCACCACGTCACCTGGTTTGAAATCAGACAGTGAAAAATACTTTTGCCCCAACAGCGAATGCTGCATTGTACAAATATAAATTCCATCTAGCCAACTGTATGATAATACTCTGCATTTGTGTATGGTACCAGGTGCGAATTTTTCAATGATTTTATCATACTCGATGTTTGTCCTCTTCAAGGAAACAAATCCCCGTGTTCCACTTTTAGTTAATTGTAACACTATTCCACCAAATTCTCTAAATAAAGCAGTACTTTCTTCTATAACATCACCAGGCTTAATATTCTCCCTAAATTTATCTATCGTCGAACTGAAGTATGCAAATTTGACGGTTGGTAAAATATACAATAATGTACCAGTAATTTTCAAATTGTCTGAATATTTGAATAAAGGTTTATCTAAATACAGCTGATTTATGAATCCTATATTGTTTTCACCTAATGAGACACATAAACCATTGGACAAAACTTTCTTTATGGAAAGATTATATCTTGTGCCTGGTATCAAGCTGTCCAATGATCTAATTTCGATTTCATGAACAGCGTTAACAAGCTTCTGGTTTGGAGTTAATGTAATTGTTGATAAATTTTCATTAGTTTCAACATTTTTAACATAACATAGAAGTTGTTTACCTGGAACTAAATGAGAGTTCTTATTAACAACAATTTACATTTAAATATTGTAAATACAATTTGCATACATATATATTTAAATTTACTTACACAAACATTTTTTATTGTCACTTTCTTTAGTAGGAATAAACGCTCTTACATTTGCTAATCCAGTATCTGCTATATAACCATGATCTTCTATGCTATTAATGGTGCACACTATTTTTGAACTATTATCTAGATGTACAATATTTAAATTTTGATTTATTAATTTAGGTTCAAGAGATATTCCAATTTGAAATTTCTCTTGTGGTTGTATAGTTTTTATATAACATATAACATAATCCCCACAACTATATAACTCTGGAAGGGATTTAATTTCACTTGTCTGAGAATCCTCTGACTTGATCAAATTTTGCAACAAATTTGTGTAACGTTCACTAATGTCTGTAATTTGTGCACGCCCTATTAATCCACCTGGCAAAGATATCAGCAAATCGTACTCTGTTACTTCAAAAATGCATCCTAATACCACTAATCCCTCAGATATCATTGCATATGATAATCGTTCTGCAGTATTAGGTACAAAATTTGTTTTCTTTTCATCTTGCTCCTTTGTCCTTCGTTTCTCATGTTTCCTTTTACCAATTTTTTCATGTTTGCTAAATAGCTATAAACATAAATTTGGAGTTAGTAAATGAGTAATTATGAGATATTAAAATATGCTGAATATTTTTATAATAAATTTACCAAATTTGATGATCTCTTTTTCTGAACTTTTTCCCCGCCTCTTGGAAAATTTGCTAGTGTCATCTATGAGAAGTAATTAAGTTATTATTGTCATAGGAGGAAGATGAACAAAAACTATTGTATAAAAAAAAAATTATGAAACTTAAAACTGAAATATCAAAGATGTAATATATGTTTAATAATTTATTTCATAAAAATTTTACCTTTTTCACTGCCGAACAATTATACCCTCAAAAAGAAAATGTTTCATACGTAGCACGTGATCGTTATAACTGTTGCCGTCACGTTTGATTTTTCGAGGTTATGTTAGCAAAATTATATGCGTGATGCCTAACAGTATCTTACTCTGTTAAAAACAGAAAATAAAATCGCACATGTAATTAATTAAACTTTATTTTATGTTTAATGTAGCGACACATTAATATACAAAAATGGTTCCCTAATATATATAACAGCATAAAATCATAAATATTATTATTTACTTATTGATCTGTCAGCTTTTTTGCTTCAGCATTTTCTATGGATAATCTTCGATGGGTATTAAATCTTTCAGATATTGGAGGAATTAAACCCGCCGCAACATATCTTCCATCATTAGCTAGAAAATTGTATATTCCACAAGCTTGTTGCACTTCGGATATTTCAGATTTAATGTTGTACTTGCGCAGTATTTCTCTTATTTCACGAATTCTACTATATTCGCATTTAGTTTCAAGGCCTAAAACCAGAACATCCAAAACTGGATATAAAACAGTGAACAAGGATAAAGTTTCTTCATTTATGTCGTTTGTAGAACCAACGTTCCAAGAGAAAAATGTTCCATTTAAAACTGCAATGGGGCCCAATAATAACGATGCATCACTTAAAGTAAATCCTATCTAAAAATATAATTTGCAGTTAAAGGCATTGTAATTTTATCAGGCATAAAAGCTAAGAGATTATTTTACCGGTAGACATGATTTTATTGAATTCCTTTGTTTTGTATCACTTAACTCTGGAGTTTTATTAATATTAATGATATCGACAGTTGTTTTACCGGGTCCGTCATATTCTCTGAAGATTTTTGAAGCGTGAAATCGTCTGTAAAAAGAGAATTATGTAAAAACCAAGTCACTTGCACATTCTCTCCTTGCAAGTTGCTTCTTTGAAAGAAAAGAAAACACGAGTTAAAATACATACCGAATATTTTGTAGTAATCGCTTTATGGTGGATGAAGTTTTGATTAAAAGCATGATAATGTCTTAACTAATATTTTTTTTTTAACTATTATTTACTTTGGCAACAATCATCTGAGCTTATTTGTATTTGAAATAACTGTAGCCACTCTATATTCTTGGTAGTCTATGACAGTTATGACTGTTGTCGTTTGATTGGTCGATTCAAATAGCATCAAAAAATTTTACCGGTACGAAAATATAGTGTTCAGAATAGTGAATAAAATCTAACTCTAACAATATCCTGCCTTAAACTCCATCATGGAGATGTTTGATCGGTCACGACGTCCCTTTCCGAGTTTAGTGTATTTTTAAAAGTATTTCTGGAAGTAGAAAAAAAAATAGGCTGCCAGAGAGAAGTAATTGCCTTATTTTGACACTATGGACAGTAATTTGACGAAAATGAGCAGAGGCTGTTGGAAGTTCGATGAGGAGGATCGAGGTGAGGAATTTCAAAACGCGGCAGGTTACTGAACGTTAAATGTCAGAAGACAATGAAATAAATTACGTTAAATAAATGAAATAAATTACGTTATAATTGTAACATTGCCATTATTTTTCTAACTAATTACTAACTATACAGCTATATGTTGCGTGCATGTCACACCTTTTTGGTATTAAAACTATCGATGACCACAGTATCGAAGAAATCGAAATGAGTTAATGAATTTGACTATTCTGGTAGATCTATTATTAAGGAACCTCCCTGGCAAATAAATTAATGTTAGAAATTCTGAATATATTCCAAATATCGTAATTAATCACGATTTCACGTCTTATAAAAAGAATTAGACGAATGTTAATTTTTTAGCATTGTACATAGACATTGAAGAGGAAGATACTGAAGAAGATAAAAAAAATAAAGTATACAGCTTTTGGGATCAAACGCCTGATTTACTTCTAGAAGAAATTTTTTCTTACTTAACTATCCGTGAAAGGTATTACGCATCTTTGGTATGTAGGTCATGGTATCGTGCGTTTAAATTACCAAGGATATGGTCTACCTTTACATTGGGAGATAATACTCTTACTAGAGGCAAATTTAATTATCACAGTGGTTGGCAATATGTCTTAGACCACATGAGAACTTCTACGTGTTTGAATAAAATTGGCAGAAATATTAGATCTTTGGTTTTAGAACCTATGTTAAATTTCTACAATCTTTATGAATTCATGAACATGATATCTTGGTATACCGAGAGACAAGGATCAGATAATACATCAGTGGCGGGTGTTGGTACCCACATTCACCGGCTTAAGTTTACCTTTCCATGTAATATGGCAAATACAGATGACCCTGATAGTATCAGGGTTTTTGGTACTGGTGGAAAATTGTTAGAAGCATTAAAAAGGTTGATGGGTAATTTACGTAATTTAAAATCTTTAGAATTGATAGACCTCATGTTAGATAACAAAGAAGCTTTACATTTAATGGATGATATTTGTGCCAATTGTACGCAAACATTGACAAAATTGGTCCTAATTAATACTACAAGATATTATTGCCCTCTTCTACATGTAGGAGTATTTATTAATTTAAATGTAAGTTGTCTTAGTAGAAAAGCTTGCCACAGTTCACATAGATTTTTTAACTTATATTATTTGTTTTATGCAAAGGTATTAGTTATTGGTCCTCAGAATCTTCATGAAGATGTGATAGATTTAATTGGTTATACTAAATTAAAACATCTTCATATCTTTCAAAATCGCTATAGTCAAAAAGATGTCACAGTGAGATTGGTAATAGTTGCATTAGTTTTAATGTAAAATGCATTGTTCCAAATACATTTAATTAGATTTGTTTACAATACAACTTATTTAATCTCTAATATAGCCTTCAAGAAAATCGTGGATAAAAATGAGAAAAAATAATCCACACATTAAAGTTCATTTTGAAGTGGAAAGTCACAAACCTACAGATATACTTTTGCCTATTGATTTGGTAGAACATGGGAATATTCCGTGTCACAGTATTGTTTTAGATATTCCGAATACAAAGGTTAGTGTTTTTTGTAAAGTGTAATAACCGATTGTGGAATTATGGTATGATGTAAAAATTTAATTAACAAACATATTAGTTACATAGATTAAATATTTCAGATTTCGCCTTCAACTATTCTTAATCATGGAGCATTTTTCGAATCGACAATAAGAGTATATGCGTTCAAAGGTCTAACCAGATATTTCGCGCCTAGAAATTTTTCACAAAGACTGGACGAAGCAATAGTACAATTTTGCAAAATGTGTCCGAATCTTCATACACTGGTATCACTTTGTGTCTGAATGAATCTCTGACTTTTTTAAAATTTCTACGACTAACAAACACCTGTGTGATAGCATGCATTCGAATTTTTCTTATACAAAAGGCTTTCTCACTGTTCGCGTAAGTTTTATCTAATGAAAATTGAAAGAAACAAATTAAAAATATGAAAAAAACATCTTTTACAACTTCTATGGATCTATTTATGTACATATGTTGTGTGGCAATATATCAATGATTTGTCAATAGTACACAAGGCAACAGATTTAAATTCAGATCGATTACTATATCAATGACTTGGAAGCCAATCAGTGGGAGACAAAGATTTTACCATGACACATTTGATGACTTGCCTGGGAATTTAGTTATTAAACGAATAACACTTCACACAATTGAGTTAACCCATGGATTGGTTTCTTTGATTCAATTAATACATTTATCAAATAACACTCTTTCAAATAACTAACTTATAAAAAAAGAATTTAAGTAGTTTTAATTTAAATCTGTAATTTAATAAATTTAATGTACATTTAAATGTTTCTCTGCAGATGATACGAGATAAAATTTCAACTGCCACGATATTAGAAATCGTGTCTACGGCAAAAAACTTGCGTTGCTTATATGTCCGGAGATATTCGGTTCTAAAGAAATGTGATGGGGATTGGTCAAAAATTATGAATTGGTCACCAGCACATTATCAATGGATTAAAAAGAATAGTTGTAGCTATGCAAGTACAGAAAGGGAAGTATCTAAAATATTGAACTACAGGTGGCACATGCAAACTGAAAGAGAATTTAGAGATCAAATGGTGAAATTACATTTATGACGTTTTTATTGAGAAAAGAGAAAAATTCTTAAAAAAAATATTTTATATCAAACAGATTGTGTAATTACGCAATAATTATACATTTATAAAATGTGTGTAAAAAATTGCTTGTATAGTTTATGTATCTACACTTTCTGACATTTACTGTGATGTAGGTAAAACTACTTATTATTTAAATGATTGTTATATACAAAAGGGATTGTTATATACAAAAATCTACGATCGTCAAATATGCAATGTAATAAAACAACACTAATTACAAGTATTTCTACTTTATTTTATCATATAATATATAACCAAGAATTCCTATGCTATGTTATAACTTATGTAATTATGTACAATGCCAACTTCTATATTTTTATATATATAGACAAGGTAACTTATTTAAATAGTTACATCTAATACTTATTTAAATAGATGATTATAATTAGTATATGATTTTGTATACATTCCAAATTAATTATTTGTAAAAATTAAAACATCGATAATAATTCGAGCATCAGAGTTAGAAACAAATTCTTTTTACAGAATGTACTAACATAGCAATATTCATTAAATTCAATAGAGAAAAACAAATATAATAATCGAGTATTTGTAGTATATACATATTTCAATAAAGTATATACAAAATTTAAATAGTATTAAACAACATTGAGTAACAATAATGGTCTCAGTTACAATTAGGAACAAGTTAAAACAAATTTTCTATTTAATCAATTAAAACAGAATATTCAAAGTATAATATTTTCTTTTTTTTGCTCATCTCTATTTACAATTTAAAATAATCCATCGTGAAAAATAGTACGCAATAAATTTTCTCCAGTACTTACAGAATCTATAATAAACATATAATAAATAAAAATTTTAATTATGTTTCCTTATTTTAAAAAAATTATCTAGTGTATAAAAGCAGAAAGTTGAAGAATTACGGTGCCAAGGCTGCTGATCGTTTGTCTCGGTTTTTATTACGTTGTATCGTACGTGCTTTAAATGCAGCTGCATTCATCAGTGTCTAAATAAAATTCACAAAATCAATTATTTCATCTTTTTAAAATTAATTACAATTAATGTATTGGAATTTTCATATTGGAAAACTCACCCTTTCCAATTTAGTAGTTTTCTGGTTGAGTGATATTGGTAAAACTTTGTTACCAAGATGAAAAATTTCGCGCAGGAGATGATTTTCTGCAAGATGAATATTTATACCTGGACCAAGTAATCTACAACACGCGTTGTACTGAGTTCGTGCACACCATCCTTCCAAATACAGAATTTCTTGGCCAAATTTTACATGCATTTCTGGTACGATGTCCTCCTAATAAAAATCACAGATATTATCAGTAATAAAGTACACGTTGATTGCGTGTATCGATATGTATATAATATTTGAATATCTACATTACGAAACACACCTCTATGTAGCGAAGTATATCTCTGAAATTAGCTCTCTGTTGCTTACGATCTTTTTTTGCTCTGTACTTATTCGAATCCGTAGCCAGATCTTTTAATATCTCGATTAAATCCAATGACCAATCTTGCTCGTAGTCGTCAGAAAAATCGCGACCAAGCTCGAATATTATAGCTAAAGTCTCTCCAGCCGACAACCTTATGTCCAAATGTGGTGATTTCAATAACTCGCGCAATCTATTCAAGGACCTGTGACGGAAACAATTAATTTTAATATTTTATCTTAATTAATTTTTGAAGATACTTACGGCATGTAGCTATTGGTTCTATCACTCGCAAGTAAATTGTATATATCAGCTGGTGCCATTACTGTTAAAAGAAGCGTCCATGATGAAATGGCAGCAGCGTGTAATGCTGCGACCTCTGAAGAAATAGTTGCTATAGCACCATTCCCTTTTAGATAAGAACCAGAAAAAATACTAGATAGCAATTGCATGATTTCAATAGTAGCGGTCGCGTCATTGCCTGATAAAAATTGATTCATGCTCAGAGCCCAACAACACTGCAAGTAGATAAATAATTTATTATTCATATATAAATTGAACTCATTATCTTTTTTTCTTCCTCTATGATGTCGTACCTCTGAACGTGCTTGTGTAGAAGCTGTGGTGTCACTGGCTATAAAAGTCAAAGTACTCTTTAAATCTCGACAGACTATCTCTGCACTTTCAAAAGCCCCCAGTTGAACACAAAGCAAAGTACTTAATCTGGCTGCGGTAGATTGTTCTTCGCTACGGCCCTTCTTCAAACCTCGCTCTACCGAATCTGTGATGGTCATTTTCCTATCTTCTACAAAATCTGGAATATACTTGATAGCAAATATTTTCTCCATTCCATTGAAACAGATTGTTCTGCCTTTCGCGCTCTTCTGTGTTAGACCATCGATTGCTTCCTTTAGTTTTTCTTCGAATGCTTCTTGCTGCGTAAGTTCATCAACCTCATTGTCGTTTACATCATCTAACATGCTGCGATTATCAGATTGACTGCTGGACACGCTACATGCATCGTTATTGATAGAATCTTCATCAGATGTTAACTCAGCTCTCTTTCCACCATGACCTGTAGAAAAAATAATTTTCTTGTTTTTTCATTATGTTTTACAAGCAACAATTGATCAATGAAGAAGAGAATAATTAATATTTGTATTTACTTTGTGCAGATTATATGTATATATAATAGTCAAAGACAACACTTATTAAAAATACATGTCACATTACATAATGTGAAACCTAAACAGCTGTTAGTTTCTGCTGTCTGAAATAATTGTACCATATATGTCTAGCTACAGAGAAATCAACTTGTACAGAAATTATAACTGCATAAGAATTTCTGCAGAAACACCTACTTTTGATAAACAAGAAAATTACTACATTATATTGCACATTCATTACAGGTATTTGCAATTCTAATGAATGCAATTTTTCAAGTGTTTATAATACACGGTGAAAACTACATAAAAAGGAAATCGTTTATGATTTATATAATCAGACTACTTATATTATGTAAAAATTAAATCGTAGGAATTGGCTTGTCATAATTTTTAAATATTTGATATAGGTACATATATAATCAATATTCTTAATTACCTAATGTTACTAGCAAACTAAGACGTAGAAGTTGTTTATACATCTAGAAATCGCATCGCGGAAATGATAAATTTACCATAATAGTGGATAATAAATAATGCGGGACCGAGTGCTAATGCATACGACGATCTAAATTTAGTACAAGTGACGGGAAAAATCGGTTGTTTTGGAAAGCATGATTCATTCATTCATCCATCTAATCCTTCACGCTGGCTTCTCCCTAACGTACGAAAAGCGAGAAGTATTTCTTCGTGAAAATCAAATCGACCGTTGCGCAATTTGAATAAAAAGAAATTTGATCGGTCGAAACGAAGCATCTTCGCATTGTCTCTCACATCTCTTACATCTGGATAGGAATGACTTGGTAATTGGTATCGTTGGTTGTTGATAAATCGAGCGTAGAAATTTTTCTTGTGTCGCACCTAACCCAGACCCATGTGTGAAAAGCATGAAAGTCACATGGGGATAGAGGCGGTGGTGTCACGACGTTGTCTCGTTTCGAGCGTGTCGTCCGAAAGAGACGAAGAGATTTCGTAGATCGATACGATTACTTTTTTCGGCCGCGAAACAATTTCACAGCTTTAATTCATCGTGTCGAGAAAGAAAATCAGAATAATTTACAATGTAACAGGTGACGTAAGACGAAATAAGCAATGTCTTCAATGCTTGATGAGTCATTACGAGGGAACGCTGATAACTTAATAAAGAATTCGGCGCATGGTGAAACGGAGACCTCTTTCGATCAACGACTGACCTTGAGGATATTTCAACGTAACTTTCATCGGAGAGTGAACAATGGAAATGAAATGTAAAATCGAAATAGACCTCTCTTACCGGATTTTCGTCTCCTGCCTCCTTTGCCTGGCATCGTTCTTCACTTTCCTTATTGCACAATTGATACTAACGAAAATACTTAATCAAGAGGGTAAATGTCTTGCACTATTAATTTTCTTTCGTATACTGAACACGCTGCATGAATTTTTAATTAAAATCTGGTAAAAACTCATTAACATGTTGCGAATCGTTCAAAACATACACGTCGAGACAGCCTACGATGGGCTTTCTCAAAGTGCACTGTCTTTCACGAGCTGCGAACCTGCCCGAACATAGACGAAAGTGCACGAATGTTCTGAGTGCGCATGCGCCGCGTGTTCCCGTGAACGTCACGTGCTCGCCAATAGACGGGTCGATTTAGCGATCCAGAAAGACGCAACCAATCAGCTTGTACCAGTTGAGCTACCGCGCATGCGTCGTACCCGTTCTTGTCAGTTTCAGTGGAAAATATCCTCGTATCGTTCAAGCGTTTCGCGCGCAATTGCGTTTTGAATGCGCTGCAACGTCTTTTAAGAAATACTTATACAAAGTTTCGAATGGCATTTTGTCGAGTGCGTGCGTGCATTTTGTGCAAATGGAAAAGATTTATTTTATAAAAGTAGTATTCATAGAGCATCGTTAACGTTGATGAACATCACACTGATGTGTAAAAGTTATTAGGATATCATAAGGTATGAACATTCAATGTCATTATTATACTTTTGCCATTGCAAAGAGATCTGTATCATAAAATAACGAAAATCGTGTATTGTTTTATATTTTCGGATATAAAAACACGCTTTACAATGATACATTTTCATTGCAACAATAACATATGAATATATACAACGAAGGAATGAATATACATATTTATACATTTAACATTAAATATCATAAAAAAAAGATACAATATAGTTATACTACAATAAATTAGAGGTACATAAAATGATTACAATTGTGTGTCTTATTATTGCATATAATTCATAGTACTTATATACAAGTTGGTATGAATTTACTTGATTACATTACTATAGTACAAAATTGAATATATTCCAAGTGTAGCAAAAGTGAAGATAGATCTAGATTCTACTATAGTTGTAATTTATATTTTTGTCTGCATATTCAGATGGACACTTATAAATATGTCAGTCTATTCTGAAGCACCAGAATTGTTAGAACAGTACAAATTTTGTTTGTTTCAATTACATTGGAACTAATGTAGTAAAAATGGTTCTTAAAGATAAAAAAATTTTTTTTTATACATATATATTGGAATGTTACTTTTACTTTCAAAAGTATCACATATTATGCTTCATTAAAAACCTAAGATGGATTTGAAAAATGAAATTCATATTTGTAGAAAAAAATGTTTACCTTTCAAAGTTATGTCTCTTTGTACATAAAGCCTATTGGAATTAATTATTTATTTCATAGGAGTTTTAATGAAAAAAATACTATATTCATTATAATTAGTAAATTAACCGTTGTTAAGTTAGAAGCAGCAGCATTTTGTACAGTTACCAAGTTCTGACATGGTGTTACTCTTCGAATAAAATTGAATATAGAATCTACAATGTTTGCTGGTGTTGGATCTGAACATTTTTCCAATTCCTTTACAACACAAGTCTGGAGTTTTGACATGTCTCTGCAAATATATAAAATATATAAATATATAAATATATAAAAAATGTATTTATAGTTTCTAGGTTTTTTTTATTGTTCATTTATTATATATATATATTGATCCTTACGTGCATTCTTTATTCCCAAGAACAAGGAATGGAAGGCTGTCTATTGTTTTTAAAGATTCGCTGTTAGGTTCTAACTGGGGCATATAGTTTCCTAAAGTAGAATTAATACATTGTAGAGTTTCTTGTTGTTTCGATCGTAGACACTCTGGACCATTAGCAGATATGAAAACTGTAAGCAATTAAAATGCTTTTTAGTAAAAAAAAAAAAAATTAAAGATTACCTACATTAAATGATCCAAAATGTATACATACGGGCAATACGATCTCCTTCTTTGTAACACACAAAATTTAAGAGAGAATTTGTGATATTTTGAATGATTTCTTTATTTTCTCGTTCCTTTGCTTCCAAGCAAGGTTCCAGCCCTGTAGTGAAGTTTCTGACACATTGCTTCAAAATGGGAGTTTTTTGGCAGTAATTTTTGAACACTATATCCAAATCTCCAGTAGGTTTGTATTTTTCCATTTCTATCTCCAATTGTGTGAAATTAACAAATGACGTAAGGCACTGTTCTAGTTTGATGGTTGCATTCACAGCATTTTCGTATGCACCCTCTCCTCCGTATTTCTCGCATTTCTGCTTGATAACACTCGTAGTTTCCTCAAACATTTGTACCATAGATGTTTTGTTACTCACATCCGAAAGTATATTAGATACATTTAGGCTTTTCAAGTCGATGACACCAGAAACTTTGTTTAATACTTCTTCTGCGTTAGGCACATTCTCTTGAGAGATTGTATGTCCAAGAAAGCCTGTAATGAAAAATAATTCATCGTTAATATATTTATATAAAAAAAAGCAATTTTCTTTCTTATCTTTTATAAATAATTTTAGATAATTCAAATTTCTTTTATAAATTGCAGTATTTTATAAGTAGTAAATTTTCAATAATTCTTAGCTCAAACATTCAAGAGTTAACTCATTAAAACTTTAACTAGATTAAAAAGCATTTGCTATTATTTCTAGGCTTAATTTTTCAAAAATTTTAATATTAAACGCCGAAGTCCAAAACGTTTAGTTTCACGCTTAGGAATTTTGTAGTATTTCCTGCTTGAAAAGGAAGTAAACACGTCATCTCGAACGGACTTTGTATTGGTTGTCGCCTCAACTTCTAGCAACTACAAATTATCTATTTTTTACTTGCATAATCTCTAAGAGTTATTAAATTATTATGTTTTTTGTCCACTTGATGTTATGCTGATAACAATCAAAACTAGTTTCAATTTATTCTTTTTGTTTTACGCGTATACATACATATTTATAGGTTATGATAAAGCAGAATTTCATATAAAATAGATCTGAATAACAAAGAATGTATGTAGAATTTTATTAATAATAATAGACATGTTTTTTCCGTGCATGCTCTCTTTGTAAAAAATTGAAGTAGATTCATAGAGTACAAAGTGCACGAGCTGAATCAATGTACAATCTGTGTGTTCATCGCACGTGTGCTGTAACGATAAGTATTTGTGCAGTACAAAGAGAGAGCAATACAATCTAGCTTCACCTTGTATCAATAATTAACTACGATAATCATATATTTCTATAAGTATTTACACGAAGTACTCTACCTATGCTTTTACATAGAGCATATATAATGTCGATAAATTGAATATTTGGTATGCGGTAATTGCATTTAATCCTAATGACTATTATCGATTGCGAGATCATGAGTTGTTATCGTTTCTTGATCGTAAAATCGAACGCGAGATTCGAGATCCACTGTTCCCCAATGGTCGATACGGAACAATGATTATTGGTGCTTTTGAATAATACACAACGGAGAATCAACTACGTTTTCGATTGGAGCTACCAACTTCAGCGTGTTCATTGATGAAACAACGCTTCATGTTAAATGTCATATTAAAAAAAAAAAGTCAATCAATTGTAAGCATGATTTTGTATATACAATCATCTTGCCTATATATCAATTACTTCCTTCTGTCTCTGTCAATTATATACGCGAGTCTTTTATTTTTGTAAGATATCATGTTCATGAATCATCATCGTTGAAAATTCTGTCAACGGAAAAAAAAAAAATAGAGAAAAAAGATGCGGAAAACGATCTAGTCATTTCTCGCTAATAAGCAGTTATTAGTATTCCGTGTTACAACTTACCACAGAGGAATATCACAATAATTGGTGTGGTACAGTACTTGGTCATCTCTATTTTGTTGCTGAAAAATATGTTCGCTCGAGGAGATGTTTGCCAACGTCGAAAGCCTATCAATTCACCGTGAAAAAGAAGAGTATCTTTGTGATGAGGTAGAAATACAGGTTCAGTTATGCATCGGTACGGGTGCCACTGTAGTAGCTCGTCGGGCACATTCGAGCTGTTCTGTTTGTTGTGAAAAACGTGCACCGATGCCCGTCAATGTTGCCCGGAATATTAGTGAAGGGAAGAGAGACAAGAGAACGAAACACAGTAATTCAGAAAGCCGAGGACAGAGATACGCTGTACTGATACACTGTACTGACTCGCAAGACTGATATTCCGATACTGAGCCGTTGGGCGCACGCGCTCCGCTTATATAAACCTCATACTCTCTGCTTCTGCGTTAATTTTAATCCAATTTTACGTATATCGTGTAATGTAATTCTAGTTATCTTGCATAATTTTTATTGATTCAGAAACAAATAAAATATACCAAACAAATAATTGTGTCTGTGTAATTCAATAGTAGTTGAATGTTTTACGCAAAAAGTTGCGACATTTCAATTGACTTTTAATATGAAATTTAGACAATTTTTAGAATAGTTCAGAATAATTTTAGAAAATATAAAAAATGGTCTGGTTGTGATATTTCTTTATTGGATAAAGAATTTTATAAAAAATTGGATATCAAAAAACCTCAGTAGTGGTTATTATTTCCTCTAATCTGGTATTTAAATTTATTTGATCGTCGCTTTTGTTCGTTATATTTGTTGCATATTTGTATATTATTTTGTAAGTTTGCCACAGTACAAGCTCTGTCAAAAAAAGTATGTAGTTAGTAATCCCGTTTGTCACGCGGGAGATCGGGGTTCGATTCCCCGCCGGGGAGATTTCATTTTTACATAATTTTCAAATAGCTTTCGTTTTTGTTCTTTTCTTTTTTCATACGATCATGAAAGATTTTAGTGGAATTTTCAAAGCATATATACTTCTATTAGCCTTTATAATATAACGAGATCTTAAATTAAAGCATCGAATAACGGCGCTGATTGATGCAATGACAATCAGGGTCGCATGCGACAGGCTGTCTTTTTCAATAGGGACTATACCAATGTCCACACAATTTTCAGTTATACTATTAGGTCCTTATCTTCTTGGAGTAGTGCAATAAAAAAAAAACAATCTTAGATTTAAAAACCTAACCGATAGTGCAAGTCACATTCAGGTATATAAGCTAAAAAGAAAGAAATAAAATCCAGAGCCCATACGAATCATTAGGATTTATTTAAGGACATAGTGTTAGAATGTTTGAGTATAAAAAATATCAAAATAATTTATGCACAGTTGCGAAATCGTTAAACTTTCGATGCTCAAGAGGCTTAATTTACAGTCAAATATTTGTTTTCTGTCTCTAGACTCCACGATAGTAGAAATAAGGCAATTCCAGCATTTCTTGCAGGATTATAGTTGACCAGTCAAATAGAAAAAAATTTGGTGAACCAAAAAAGCAAATTAATAGACATTTATGATAAACTTTTTAATGTAGTAAGCAGAAAAAAACAGAATCAGTGAATGACAGAATAAATTCAGTCTCCCTTCTTCCGACACCATTTCTAACTGTTTATACACAGAGAAATTGGTACGTGAGATTCGGGCTACATTTCTAAGTTCAAAAGATTACGCGTAAACAACATGGACCACTTGAGCGACCCTGCTTGAGCTTTATCTTCTCAGGTTTCTATCCATTTATTCATTGGAGTAACTTGGATATGTGACACTTGATCTGTTTTGTTAGGCGGTACATATCTATGAAATCTGATACAAATAATAATACAAAAACGAAAGAGATTGTATTCATATATATAATATGGATAAAAAGAAAAATTTAAAAAACAACATATGTATATAGCAAATTTCTTTTAATCCACCAATAAAATAAAATTTGTAATTATTCAACTGTATATGGTTGTATAGTGATCAATATTCCCAAACAATTATTAGCGATTGTAATTATTCCGTCTCTAAGAGATCAATTGTAACATCTAGAGTACTCGTATTGCATACAAAACTTTCGTAAACTCCTCGGTAATATAATGATCGGTATTGATATCTTACAATAAACTGAAATTAACATTCAAAAAACTAAAAAATGAAAGATCATGCATTATATACCGAACATAATCCTAATCCTCCACTACTATACGATATTATTCAACTGCTTAATCTCGACTTACAATTAGTTCTCTGCAATGTGGAAAATGGTAAAAATTACTAATTACGTATTAATCCTCCGCCTACTGTGCCGGAGTCATTTTTGACCCGTATTGAGAGCTACTCTAATGTAATAACGTATACAGTGATGGGAGTGCTTGTGTTAGTAGCTGAAACCTGATCGCACTAACACACGAATGCCAAGTGGCTAACACGTGTCCGCCAAAGTGCCGAAGTGACGAAGACTGAAGACAAAGGAATCAGTTTTTGGTAACGCTCTGAGGAGAAAAGACGTGTACAGCAAATCGAAGCAATTATTATTTTTGTTCTTTTTTATTACTTTTTTCCGTTGTTTCTATTTGTTTGTTAACGCAATGCCCTCATTGCCAACGAGCAATATTTCTTTGTCTTCTCTCGCTCAATATGCACAAGACGTTCCTGACAGTGAACAATCATCAGACGACGGAAGTATATCAAATAGTGACGCTGAACCCTAAATGCAAGATTCCGAAATCGAAATGCAAGAAGATAATATATCAGAAACTGTGAATAATGTAGTTCTAGAAAACCAGGAATTTGGACGTAACTGGCAACGTATTGGACCTAGCAAGGGTACAGCGATTGTCTCTCCTCAATATATAAATATAAATAAATATAACTTTATTATTCATGTGATTATTATTTGTTCTTATATGCTCCTACATGTTCCTATATGAATCTGGCGTCTGTCACTGTGTTAGTACAATATCGGTGAGGACCTCGGTCTCGAGCGACCATTACTCTGTGTTAGTACAGTATCGGTGAGCCGCTCGGGCGATCTAAATATGTGTTGGTGGAATGTCCGTGTGAGTCAGAAATGACCGGCACAGGACTCCATGCTTCAGTAGTCGGAGGGTTCAAGAAGAAAAAATAACACTGACCTGGTCACAGGTAACCTGATAACATTAGCAAAATATTCATCGTAATCATAAACGATATAACAAGCATTGTTCAGAAAGCATGATCCCAGAAACATAATTCAGATTTAGATTCAGACATTCAACGCAATAACAATATTCTCATCTAATGTATATACGTTGAACAAGAAACACGATTCTTTTGGGGCGGTATTGACCTTGAAAAAGCTTTCGATGTAATCTGGCTGATCGGATTCTTCTTCAAAATGATAAAAAAGAATTTCTTAATCTACCTGGTTAAAATAACATGAAGTGTAACAAACAATTCTAAGCGAAAGCTAAAACATTTTTAGGTCATGAAAAATTATAAATGATTTACAACAGTGCACCGTCTGTTTAGTGTCTATATCAGTGATCTAAATAGCGACAAGAAAGCACCAATAGCCTTCGCAGACGATCTATTAATATATGCAAAAGACCTTCAAAAATCAAAACACATCTACAAAAACTATTCAATAAGGTATAAGATTATCTCCACGCGTAGAAATGAAAAATAAATATCAAAAATGTGAAACCATACTATTCAGCCTATACACGAAAAAATTCCACAATAAAAAAAATGCTAAAAAATTCCACATATACGACAATAATGATTCCAATAACGAAATCCGCTATAAAGAAGTTGTTTCTTATTTAACCATGCATCTGAACTTTAGAGTAAATCACAACCAATACATCAAAGCACAAATAGAAACAGCGCAAAGGCATTTATTAGAAGATGAATACATCTTCTATTTAACATAAAAATTTTGTGCAAACTTTTAATTGACATACAATTGTACCATATGAATCAACATCAGTGCTAATAGAGAAGATGCGCTTATCAAATGAAAAGGCTTCAAAGGCTTAACAGATACAGGACAGTGTCAAATTACACGAAAGGAACCGCCTATAGATAACTCGTATTGAAACTAAAAAATCATTGGGCAAACATACCTAACATCTGCTCCAACAGCCTAATTTATCACTTGATTTCAACCCACAATATTGGAGAAAGATAAGACAGGATACACACCCCTAAAATCATTTATATACCTAGATAGCGTATCGTTTATCGAGAACAGTAACAACCAACCAATTATTTACCATAATAGGAAAAACTACAAAACTATATCATAATCATAATTTATCCTTCAACGACTGTGAAATCCGCTTTAAATATTAACAAACCACGACATAAAAGATGAACATAAAAATAACGTCAAAAAATAGTGACGGTTATGATAAAAAAAATAATTAAAGTTTAAATAAGAAGACCGAGACTGATTAACTAGTCATTGAATAAATTAGAAACAAATGTTGTCCTCTCCTCGATAGTATAGTGGTTAGTATCCCCGCCTGTCACGCGGGAGACCGGGGTTCGATTCCCCGTCGGGGAGTTTTAAATTTTTGTTTTATTTTATTATTATATTTTATCTTATTGCGTGCTATTTCTCTTTTTGCTCCGCAAGTTTTATTTTTGTTTTTAAAAAGTCACTTGTTTATTAGCTTAGGCTAGACTGCTTAGGCTAGTTATAAGACTGTACATAGTTTATAAACAGAAATTATCAAATAAAGAGCATTATCTATTTATAAGCTATACATATTCAGATTTCTTTTATTTTCATATAAACACATATATATGTACATAACATGTACATGTACATATACATAGCAGTTAATTATAAGATGTATATTAATTATACAATACTTAATTGTACATTAATTTAATGCGCAATAGAAATATTAATTATATTTAATATAATGTATGACAATGTATGATATTTTCATCTATTGTCTTTTCTTTTTCTTTTTCTTTTCTTCTCTTAGTGATGAATGACAAAAACCAGATAATTTGTTTGAACATTTGCAGTGTTATATTTTTTTGTACTTACTATTCGCATATATAATGTCCTGTGCCATTTTTATAACGTAATAAAGTTACTCTAGTTTATCTCTGTATAAGTACTCTATTATATTTTATTCAGTGGTTTTAAAATAAATGACAAGATGTTGTGCAAAATCGGTGTATATTAAATTTTTTTTTTTTTTTTTTTTTAACGTTTTATTCGTGCCAGTATAGAGTGCATGACAATAATCATAACGTACAAAAGATTATAAATAATTACTATTTCCTTCTTAGACTAAAGGCTCCATCCCTGGAGCACGCACAGTCTTAAGTTGAAGGTTACATTTCTGCACTTATTGCTACAT